GATTGCTGTTGCTTTTGGATTCTGAGTGCTTTGTGAAACTGTAAATAGAGGATTCCCATTCCACAATTCTCTCTCTCCCTCTCCCTCTCCCTCCTTGAGAGATTCATTGCTGAATGCATTTTGATTATCTGCCACAGCGACTTAAGCTAGTGATGGATTCCATTATTTGGGCTTTCCGGCGTACTGAATGGAATATTGCTGAAACTGGATTGGTACTTTTACTAGAGATTCTCAAGAAATTCCAGGTTTCAACTTTTTTTAAATATTTTCATGAAACCTTTTTTTAATAATTTTCTCCTCTTTTTCTTAATTTTTTTTTTCTGCTTCATTGGTTCTTATATTGGTCACTGTTTTCTTGGCAGGCCTCTGAATTCTGTAATCAATTCTACCAATCATACTTTTTAAGAATCGAGGAGGAGATGTTCGTGGTTTTAACAGATACATTTCATAAGCCTGGGTTCAACCTACAGGTTTTAGTGCTGCAGCATTTATTTAGTCTGGTAATTTCTCTTCCCCAGTGTCCTGCAAGCTTTTTATTAAGAAGATTTTATCCACCTGAGTTTCTTTATCATATTGCTTTTCCTAAATGCATTTTTCTGGATACAATGCTATTCTATTTTTTATAGTGCATTCATTTGAAGCATATATCGGGTGGAACTTTTCTGCAGTTCACAGTAGTTTTGTACTGTTGGTGATGATTCTTGCCGGATATGGGATGAATGAATAGGAAATAGGCCAATGTTGAAGGTTAGTTGGACATGCTCCTTGTTTTTTAATGTTGATCACAGGTCTCCTTGTCGTGGCTCTTATCTCATCAGCTAAATTAGCTTGAAATACCATGTCAAAATTGTGATCTTCTTCTCAGCTTTTCTATTATCAGTCCCGTTTTTATAATATTTAGCTAGACTGCACCTACTGAGAGTGAGAGCTATTTTTTAAATTATGCAGCACCCTGATGTTCTTATGCTATAGGGTATAAAGTGTGGCATATGTTAACTGATCCTTGAAACTAGAATTATTAGCTGCTAAATAAACATGGGTTGGGGAAAGACAGTTTAGTTAAGAACTAATCTTTGCTTGCTCTCTTTATGAGGTCCCCTGGATGCATTTTTCTAGTCCGGTTCATGTTTGCTGGAATCATGTTTTCCTTCTCAACACAATTGATGAATAAGGATTCCGCTATTATTCATTCAGAATATCTTAAGACAAGGTTCAAAGGACATTGGAAGTATTTGAAGATGATTTTTTGTTTGCGAAATGGCCCCTTTGGGTGATGTTTCATGCATAGTTTTATCTACCGAGTAATTTTTTTTTTTTTGAAAAATCTATTATATTCTCCTTTTGGGTTTCAAGACAATAATTTTTGTGTAACTGGATTTCTGTGATGCTCATGTCTCAATTGATTGAATTATTTGCAAAAGAGCTGTAGTGCCGTGCAAATTTCTGGTTCAGCCTGATCTGAAGTCCCCCTGCATGTGTTTCTTAAATAGGTTGAAAAGGCATACAATGCTGATATCCACTGTGTTGATTGGAATCCTCACGACCAAAATCTGATTCTGACCGGGTGGGTTCTCATGAGTCTCGCTTATCAAAGATCTGGAAGTTAACAATTATGTCTACCTTAAGTAGATTTCAATTGCATGTAGTATATGTTATCGAATGATGATGTTTTCTTAGGTCTGTGAATCCCTCTATGTACAATCAGTGGATGCTTATTCCAAGAGTGTGGGTTGTTCTTTCATTTAGTATTGGTAGTTTTGACTTTTTCCTTGAACACAATCTTGTTCGACGTGGTGATTTGGTGTGATGAGACAATCTCTATTGTTGCAATCTTGTTCGAGGTGGTGAGTTGGTGTCATGAGACAATCTCTATTGTTGCAGAAGCCAGAAGGTGCAAGTGTGCTTGCCCAGGTGACAATCTATTTTTGCATTTTTTTTTTCTTCTTTTGGGAGCTTCACATCCCACCCCCGGTTGTGTGAAGCGGGCCGAAGAGTAGAGAGACAAATATGTAAATGGACTTCTATTGGGTGTTGGCCTGTTGGGCTGTGGAAAAAATGGTTGGGTTGTGGGAAAAATGAGACTATTATTATTATTATTTTGTTGGGAAAAAATAGTATAGTATTGCCTTCTAAGAGTGCTGTTTATTTTAATTAATTTATTAATGACCCTAACCTAAGCCTTTTTAAGGTGCCACCTTATCACATACCCCCTCCAACATCCTTTACCCTGGCCGCCTCCACCCCCACCACCACCCACCACCACCCACCACCACCGCCTATCTTCACATCTCTTGTTTATCCTCTCTTGCTTAGATCTCTATGGCTCTATTGTTTACCCTCTCTTGCTTATATTTCTATGGCCAATTAATCAATTGGTACAGCACAAAGAATTGCACTTTCCACCCACAAACAGATTTGAGATTTGGGGTTGGTGGAAACCACCAATTTGGATTGAGTTCTTCCCCCTAGTCCTATTGTTCTGTTGATTCAATTCAAAACAAACTCAAACTCAAACTCGATTCAAGATGGAAAATTGCCATGACAACACGGGTTGCTGCAATTACATCGTCAAGATCTGTCCTTCAATCTCGGCGGACACGGACCCGGACCCGGACCCGGACCCGAACAGCTCGACTCGATTCGATTCGACAGGCATGTCAATTGGTGGGGTTGGGTTTGGGAGGATTTGGCTGCCAATTCCATATTAGTCCCTCTGTCCGAAATGATTGTCGAAACTTCATCCGGGATTACATACAAATTTGTGACTCACTGAAGATCCGAGGACTGCATGCGGTTGATTCCGCCATTTTCCGCCGTTCTCCATGAACAACAAAAATTCCGATAAATTTCATCACCACCAACAAATTCCAGATAAAAAAATTAAATCCATTTTTTCATCTCAGCTAAAAAAACAGAATCCAGTTGAATCTACACATATTAGTTAATCTCATCTTTGGCTCATCATATTCGTGAAGGCCCAAACAACAGGATACTACACGATACTAGTTATTATATATACGGCAATTTCCCCTTTCCTTTTACCGAATTTCCCCTTTATGAAACCCGCACGATACTAGCAATCTCTCTCTAGGGTTTACAGTCTTCTTTCTCCGCTCTGAAGTCTCCATCAATCTCTCTCTAGGGTTCACACTCTTCTTCCCCCCCTGAAGTCTCAATCAAATGAGGAGGATTAGGAATCACATTCACATCGTGAGGAGGGTTGTGGATCGGGGTTGGAGATATCAGCAACGGAGTTACAGAGCAATTTATCAACATCTTGCTGGGTTACAGTTGCTCGGTAATGAAAGATATAAAACTGAGGTTGGGTTACTAATGAGGGGCCTTCAGCCTTGCTGAAGGTGAGCTTGGATTTGCTCCTATGTTTTGCTTCCTTGTGTCTAGAAAATGATCTTTTTGTCACAAAAAAGTGTTGTGAAGTTTATCTTTAAATTTAGTAATACAATTGCTCGTTGAAGTTTGTACACCATGCAACGAGTGATTGCGATTTTACAGTGGAGAGAAACTGCTACTCTTTTTACTATGCATTCATGAATGTGTTTCCTGTTCTGCATCTCTTGCATGTGTGGTTCTTTGATTCAGTATCCTACACTTTCTTGACCTTATGCTAGTTTACTTCCGTTGTTTAACATTCTTAATTTGTAGCTGTTGTGTTGTGTTTTGTAGCTGTTGTGTTGTGTGTCTGAATGCCGAGACCCACATTCCTTTGTGCTCTGGAGGGAAACGTAGAATACTTTAAGCATAATTTGGTCTTTCCAATGATGTTTTTTTTAATATTTGTGTTTGTTTGGATTTCTAGCTTCTGTGTACATTTAAAGTAATCTGTCATCGCTGTAAGTCTTTGAGAACTGTTTTCGGAATATCATCTGTGCTTTATTTATCTTTTCAGAATCCATTTGTGTTTGATTTATGCATTTCATTGTCATGTTTTTTTAGATGTGGGAACTTACCTTGATATCTCTTTCAACACCTATTTGCTATAACAAATCTATCGTATCTCTGAAATCTCTCTCTTTTCTCCCTATCTGATTGCTAGTTAAGTGAAGTTAGATTTTCTCCTCCTTGCATGCTCTCTTTTGTTGTGCTGTTCTTATTTCTGCTGGAGTTGGAGAATTTGGTTTTCAGCTTTACTTGTTTCTCTTTTTTACATAGATCAACTAAGACATCTCGGTTTGCCTCTGCTTTGTGTAGGTAGTAATGGTAATGTAGTCCTTCACATCTGTTTATTGCTGGATGGATTTTCTGTGAAGTTTCCTTCAAATGAAAACAACATGATCTCTTTATTGAGTATGTTCCGTGTTATATAGGGGTGTGTTCTTGCCTTCCTGCCATACTTGGTCATGAGCACTATCATTTTATCTCGCATTTGCTTTTTTGGGATGAATATTATATCTGATTGATCAGCTGTGTTGGTTCTTGCATGTGTTTGATTCCTCAAAGGCCTGTAGTGAAATCCTGTTGAAGTTCATTTATCTGCATTGTTGTTATATCTTGTTGCATTGTTGTTATATCTTGTCTCTCACAAGAAGTAAAGATTGCATTGCCTTGGAAGTATTCATGCAGATACTTACGAGGGTATCTTTGAATTCCATTGCCTGGAAGTGATGATTAGATATATGATTGATTGATCGATCCTGTATCAAGTAGTTCCTCTGACTGTTTTACAAATTCTGAACAACGCTCATATTCCAAGGAAGCAAGCCGGACACCAAATCCTGCGAATGGGGCAGAGGAGGAAGAAATCTTCGATTATGCACCCTGTTTTGAGTCGGATTCTTCTTGGGTAATTGAATACTATTCGAAATATTGTGATATCACTATCTTTGAATTCGAGGTCCTAAAAGTAACTTTAGGCGTTTACCCGGGGATGGTATGAGTTATTTTGGAATACTGTTGTCTGACGATATTGGATTTTATTGTGGAATGAGGGTGATACGTTCTGATCAGGTGGATTTGAAGACATTCGAATGTGAATTAAATGTCTTTAATTTGGGTTTAAACACCGTTATGGATCTCGGATTCAAAAACTGTGATATAATATTTGAAACATACTCAAAGTCTGTCTGTTATATTGCTCATTTTCAAAAAACAAACAATTCTCATTAGTTTCATAGCATATGCTTCATAATGTTTTCGGATGCTAACGATTTCCTCCTACGAATCAGAACCAGAATTAGATAAAATTAAACAACCAAAAAAAAAGTTTAGAATACACTTCATTCCCACATTATTGTTTGAATGAAGATACTTCTGGTTCTGATTCGTAGGAGGAAATCGTTAGCATCCGAAACATTATGAAGCATATGTTATGGAACTAATGAGATTTGTTTGTTTTTTTGAAAATGAGCAATATAATAGACAGACTTTGAGTCTGTTTCAAATATTATATCACAGTCTTTGAATCCGAGATCCATAACGGTGTTTAAACCCAAATTAAAGGCCTTTAATTTGCATTCGGATGTCTTCAAATCCACCTGGTCAGAACGTATCACCCTCATTCCACAATAAAATCCAATGTCGTCAGACAACAGTATTCCAAAATAGCTCATACCATCCCCCGGTTGATAAGCGCCTGAAGTCACTTTTAGCATCCGGATTTGTCATAGATAAGTGTCAAACCAAGGCCAATATCTCATGGGCCAATTGGTGTCGTGAGGATCGGGATCTGATGACTTTGCGCAGTTTATGTGAATATCCAACTAAAGGGTAAGTGAAATTTGAAGTTCGTAGGTGTCGTGATGTTTATTTTTTCTTTTAGATGTTTACTTGCATTCTCTGCTGACCTATTCGGTAGAATTCAGTTTAACTTGTTTGTGTTTTATAAGGGTATAAAAGTGACTTCAAAAAACAAACAGTTCTCATAAGGTGCACCTCAATGAAGCCAGGTATTCCTTAAATTTGCTGGCTGATATTAAACAAAGAAAGCCTATGGAAAAAGCCAAGATGTATTTTTGACATCTTGGTTGCTATGTAGCTATACTGTGCAGCCAAAACTATTTTGGAGGAAGAGCCGCAGAAATCACCATAATCTTCAACATTGGTGTGATAGAAAGGACTGAAGAATGATTGTCTGAAAATTCACATCGTTTTTTTCTTCTCCTTAATGTAGGTTGCTGCAAACGAAATTGCAGGATTTACAGGACAACAGTGGATGCAAAATAAGTGTTGTTTGGGTCCACTCGGACGCCAATGTTGCCGATGATGTGGTTAGAACTGCAGCAATGGAACAAAAGAATCATTGTAAAAGCTGCGGAGGACGCCCTATGGGCCAGAAAACACGAGTCCGTGTCATTTGGTCGCGGAGGTAGGCTTCTTGTTTTGTTCTGATTTTTAGCAGTAGAGTTTTTCATGAAATTTGTTGCGGTTTTTTCATTTTTCTTCGTGCCAAAGAATGATGTTTCCATTGCCTGCTTTGCTGTTGTTTTTCAATTCCATGTTAGCAGAAAGAAGAAGGATAGAGAAGTTCCTTGCAAGTTTTGCAACAGGTAGATTTTCCTCTCTTAATCTTGTTCTTCTTCTTCTTTCTCTTATGAAGATATGGTTTCTTTAAGCAAATTTACTAACAAAATTCGTGTTTTGTCTCACAGGAGATTCGCTTCTGAAATGGCACTGGAGCAGCACACCAAGGATAGGCATGGTGCTGCAGAGTCTGGAAACTAGTAGTAGTATATTCTAAAATGACCATCTGAGCAGATTACTCTAAGCTCAGCTATTGATGGAAAAGAAAGGAAATTATATCACCCTCTAGACTTGATTTGGATGTAAGATGAAGTTCACCAAAGAGGACAACAGACTACAATCAAAGTCAGATGTCTGAATTGTCTTAAGAGGCATTTTTTTTGTTTCTATCTGAAGGTATTTCCATTCCAATCCGACAAGACAATAATAAAAGTCAATTAGAGGGATGCTGCAGCAGAAAACATTCAAAACACTAGGAGATAATTCCACTCAAAAACTACGAGGAAGAAAAAGCACTAGTTAATTACTGCACTGTGTGAAAAAAAATGAGAAACAGGAAGAACATCCAATCCTGCAAAACTGCCAGTCTATCTATTATTATTACTAAATTGAGAAAGTAGATTGTTAAGGGTTCACAAGGTCCATTGCCAGAAGGAATGTAATCCAAAATGATCCAACAATGGCAAGTGAGGTTATGGCATTATCTGGATTTTTACATCATGCTATAACAGCTTTTGCTGCAGATACTCAGAAATGTTCACACTGTTCATCATCTGGATTTTTACATCATCTGGATTCTTCCGCCTACAAATGTTCAGAAAGCAACAACTATCAGTTCACACATAACGGAATGAGCTTTCAAAAGATTGCAAATGATCAGAGGGCTCAAATAGAACAAACCTCTCCAGTCCCATCATCCTCATCATTAACCTCAGACTCGGACTTGTCAGATTCGTCATCATGACCACCCTTCGAAGGTTTTATAATACAGGACAACATTGAAAACATTAATGTAGTCAGACTTGACACCAACTACCAAATATCAGCACTACTCCCAGTTATATTAAATTAACCAGACTGGATTATTCCTTTTTTGTCGCATTGATTCAGTAAATAATACAGAGTACAACCATTATGCAGTGACCCATATGTATAGATCAAAATAGAAGCCTAAATGATGATTAGTCAACTCTAGACAAACTGTTTATAGATATCAAACTACAAAGATAGTTAAGGATGACTGCTAAAGGATAACTAAAGTGGATTCATCAGCTTCACAAAACTACGAAAACAGCACTAAACAGCGTATTCAAACCATTAATGAAGTCAAATATAAGACTCCACAACTGAAATCAGCAAGAGTATTCTACTCTACATCACCAACTTTATATAACCAGGGTTCAGATAATTAAGTGAATAAAGATTTGGAACCTACTCTTAGTAATGAGTTAAACTCGTAACAGATAAATCACAGCACAGAGTACAAAATCAAAATGGAAGTAACAAGCAATGTCAAACAAGTAAGCAGTTGAAGAAGTCGGTGAAAATATACTGGACCAATTTCTTATTACAGGCTTGCATTTGGCGTCATATTCCTGCTTTCGCTTCTCTGTCTTAGCCAGGTAAGGAGCTTTTTCCTGAAATTTATTACAATGAGCGAACTAAGAACTGACATTTGATTCCTTAATTATTCTAAGGACAAAGACGGAAGAAAGGGGAGTGAACGTTGATGATGTTCATAATTCAATTTATAAAAATAGAACACATATTGCCGAGTTCATACATCATAGAATTAACCATCACTTGTATAGAGCTCAAGAAACGTGAAGGCACCCTTCTTCTTTTCTCAACCAGTTTTGACTCGGATAACTCGATCTCACCATACTGATTAGAAACACGTGATCTCAGATTCAAGCAAGACTCGATGGAGCAGAGTATCAGAACGGAAAACCTCTTTGAGACATTAATGTGTCTTAATTAAAGAACCTCTGACAAATATTATTAGCCACATTGTGCAAATCTAGAGTGAGCTCCTCAAATAAAAGACTGTCCTCGACATATTAAAGCGGGAAAAAGAATAACTCAGTAACTGAATCTTCCATGGGTTGCAAGAAGTACTTTGTTGGCATATGACAGCCTGTGACTTATAAACTTCTAAAGCTACTCACGATAATAATCATCTTTAAACTTATGTCGGTTGAATTTTTTTTGAACACCAGTTCAAAACTCAAAACTGAACCTAATAAAATAAGTAGGATTAAACACCAGTTCAGCATGAATCAAAGAATTCATAAACCAGCAGGATAATCTGAAAAATTGCATCATCATTCGAGTTAATTTTGATCTGCTACAACATGCCTGGAATCAGAACTCATCCTTCTTTACAAAGCGACCAAATGAAGATTTTCCATTAGTTATCCCAAGTAATTAGGGAAATTGAGTACCCGCAAACATCAGTAACCTAACCTAATTTATAGAAGACACAAAATAGTCTAACATCAGCCGACTTGTAAGCCCTACAGAGTGTCTTCAGTGGCTTCCTTCCTGTCAGCTTTAGTCTTAAACTCCTCAGAATAGTGACAGTAATCTACCTTCTTCTTGAAGTAAAAACTTTTAAGTCCACAGAACCCAGCCGCAGTCATGAAATCTTCTTCTTCTTCTTCCTTTTTTTTCTTCTTTTCTTCCTCTTTCTGCTTGTCCTTCCCGATTGCAGCATCACATTATCATCTAGCCCGAGGAGATTTATGGATTAAATAAATTTTCATTGTGGAAAAGATCAGCCAAAATTATTACCTCAGTCCAGACATAAACTTTTAAAAGACAACACTTCCTTTAAACAATGATGGTATTTCAGTTTGAAAAAGACAAAAAGGAAGAGAAAGATATCAACTTCGCAACGGACAACCAAATGAACCTCTAAATTTCATTTGGTTCTAGCCAGCTAACATAAACCTAGCGGGCCTGTGGTGAGTAGGATTAAAATTGAAGAAATCCATTAATTGTAAGAAAAGATGCTCACAAAATGAGGAAAAAAAAATTGAAAAACATGGCATAGCTTGTACTTTGGCAGCATTAAACTGACACAAAATTGAAGCGAAATACTAAGTAATCCCATATTGAAGAAAGCAGTAGACGAGATAGAAGGGGAAGACAGAAAGATTGCCCAAAAAGTACACCAATTTAAAGACAGTTAGGCGAGAGAGTTTAATATTATTCTCAGGACACTGAGCAATGCCTACGGTCTTTCATTCAACATGATTTTCTAATCCAAATAGTTCTTGAAAGTGAGCCAAAACAAAATCCACAGAAAACCAACCCACGTTTTTAGCTAATACCAACATCGGTAGCCCTTTTTACTGGTTAGGGAGTTAGGTCGAAGTTCTAATGCTTTTATCTTCAAGCAATCATCCTGCCTCATAAACTGTATCTATTACGAACACTCTAGCTCTTAACAGAACAACTAAAAGAATACCAAGATTTTACCTGTAGGTGCATCAAATTTTTGTTCACCAACAAAGGACGCTGCTTGCCTTATCTAGTATTTTTTGGTCATTGTTTTATTATTTAAACAGAAAGAGACACACAATTTCGGACAAATATACACAAAAGGGGGGAAAGCTAAAATACAGAATAGATTTAAATTATGAGAACTACACAGAAGTACATATGAAAGAAGAGTTGTACAAAGTTAAGAAACGAACCTGTTTGTAGACATGCTTGGTGAAGACATTTTTGGCCAACTGATTTGATCACAAAAACATTCCAGAAACTGCAGACATGAAAAAAAAAAAGAATTGACATTAAGACAAATTGACATGTTGACTGATCTGAAGATATATGAATTGAACCAACTGACATGTGGCACATGGATTGATTACTAATATCTCCTAAAATCCATTAGCAAAACAATATATGGAAACTGCACATCAAAAATACAATTACTTGGAATCTAAGGTCAACTAATTGATGTAAAAAGTCTCGAGCAATACCATAAAAGGACCCTCACAGAAGAATATACTGAAGGCAACAAAAAGTTCACAAAGTGGGAGCAAAGCTGGCTACCATTAAGCATGATGCATAGATAAATTGTAAAATAACACTTAGGAAAACTCATTCAGACCCAATTCAAACACCTAACATGCAAGACTTCAACTCTTGATTCTAATTTTTTTTCCATTCACAACGAATCCCACAACAATTAAGACAGAACGAAATCAAAGCAAACCCTTTTTTTTGCACCTTCTCTTCACCATATTTAAATCATGAGTAAGTAATAGCCAGACTATCTTTCCGATGAGAATATCAACTAATGAGCTACATGCAATAAAAAAAAAAGAGAGGAATATTTGAAGCTGCCGCCACCAATGAGCTCCGCCTTCTCTTGCATTTGATTCAGCCTCGAATCTGAAGGTGTTAATTTTAGTTTTGGGGATTGTGGACGTGTTATGTACTTATGTTTCAAAATTCTTTCTTTTGGATCAAACAATACTCTCTCCCTTGAAGATTGCAAAATTGGGCAGATATTTAACGAAGGAAAGAGTCTTCAACTCTTCAACGATGAGGGGATTCTTGGAAGGTAGATACCGTGGTCGATTTGGCAAGAATTTATAATTCCTCTATCTCCGTAAGCCTTCGTTAGTCATCTACCCTCTTGCTTTGCCCGCCGAAACGATTAAAGCCACCGATACCTGGTATGTCAAAATCAGAGAAGCTCAACTTCATTTTCAAGTTTTATTTAAGTTTTCTCTGTACTCATATTGATATTGAGGTTTTATTTTTCTTCTCATTTTGGTTTCCTCTCGGGCATACCCTCTCGGGCAGCATATATTTGGATTCTTGGATATTGGCTCCTTTATGTGTGGCAGACATATGAACTGTTGTTTGCAGCAAGCACCAAATATTCTTTTTTCGTGTTTCAGGTTCTTGCTCCAAAACGAGGTGACATCGTTATGCAAATTGGCAATGAACTGGGAGCCAAACTTCAGCAACTTGGTCGGCTTGTGTCCCTTGAGATGGGGAAAGATACTTACAGAATGGAAAGGGCCGTAAGGGAGGTTCAAATGGGTATATATTTCTTTTCTGTTTGTGTGTGTGTGGATTCATTCTTGCTCGAATCAAATCAGTTACTATTCTTGCTTCTGAGCATCAAACTCACAGCACTCTCTGTCCGTCTCATTCCTTGGTTGCTTTATTCTGACATGCTTAGCGGTTTGCAGGCCTACTAGAAGCGATTGTGGGATTGTGAATGTGAAAACATATTGACAACTGCTGAAATATGCTGAGCATTTGTTGGAGATAAAGCCGTCGGAGAAGGGCGAGAGGCAGGAAATTATTCATGGATACAATGGATGAGAGGTGGCTATTTGGTAAAAATCATCTCTTCCCTTCATTCTCTTTTGTCTTAAACTGGTTGGAGTTCACATGTCTACTTACAAAAATCTTGAATGCGTACCATTTTAACATTACAGGCTACACTTTTTGTTCAAATTAAAAGCCTGACCTTCTGCCCATTTCTTTCTACAACATCACAGGACCATCAATTATGTGAATGATCTGCCATTAGCTCAGGGAATAAACTTCGGTTGGTAAGCATTTCTTCTTGGACAGTCTTTTACATTTTACCTTTCTATCTCCAGTAAAATATCCTTTTTGCTCTCCATTGTTTGTATGTCACATTGACCAAACCACATTTAATCATGAGTTCTGGCTTGAATACTTAAGTACGTAAGAAAACCCTTTAGAAATATGTTCAGGATCCCAAAGTACCATGAGTGTTGGCCCAAATTAGGTTTTTTTTACGAACGATTAGCACTGTTTCTTGGGATTCGGATTCTATTATTGAGTATCTCAATGATTAACATTTTTCATGATTAACATACTAGAGTCAAGAGTTAAAAGTATTCGTAATTGATCAGCTGAGAATGAAGGGAATAACAGTGAGCAATAAATTTTTCCTTCTGTTCAAATATTGATTCAAGGGCTCAAATTTGGTAATTGTCTTTTGGGATTGTTTCACTTTGAACATTGATTAACATCCGCAATTTTGGATTGTCGTATCTCTTTCTTTTATCATTGTAGTTTGTCCTCATTGTTGATTATTTATTGTTTGATTTGTTACCATTGTTCATCGTAAAGACTACTGTTGCAGCTTAAGACCAGTAAAGACAACCATCGTAGAGAATACTAGAATAGAGGCAGCCCAGGGGTCTTTGGTGCATTACAGTGCACAATAACTGTGTGCAGATAGGAGAGGAAAAAGATGGAGAAAGAATTTGCAGCATTGGATTGGGACAAGAAGTATATATATGATTAAAACAAGAAAACAAACCAATGTCCGACCACCTCCATCAAACACATTAGGAGTATGTTATCTTCAAAGTACACGGCCCAGCTTATTAGTAATCCAAAGAACCCGCCGACTTGAATTTGCAGATAAAATACTTTCTCCAGTGAACTTCAACTCTGATGCCCAACTACATACTCTAGTTCTTCTTCGACCACACTTGTTACAATCCTGATCTTGTTTCTTCATTGCAAACTTTGACGCCATATTGTTACTAACTTGTATAATATCTGATGTGGTAGTAGAACCAAGAGCAAAATGATACGTCGGTTGAAAGGATTGGCATGCAATGTCAGACCCGCCAACTTTATTTGCCATTGTAGAACTAAAACCCCTGCGGTCCCTCATAAAATGATACGTATGATACAATCGAAGTGAAAAGGGAGAATCCCTCGAGGGCAATTTAGATAGCATTTCTTGCTTGTTCACCACCCAACGCTTTGAGGCTTGCTTGGACTAGACAAAATTCCAATTTATTCGTGAGTTGGAAACTAAATTCTGAATTTATAGTAAAGCAGCAATGATCAAATACAACGCATCACAAAAAAAAAAAAAGGTCTCCTAACATGTTTGGTTCCCGGTTCAAAGTGTTCAACCGAAAAATTGATAGATCCATGAAATTTTTCCAAGTGAATTTAAAACTTACATCACATACCTCATCATCAGTCAGTGGCTTGTCAGGTGCCCTTTGATAAGAATTGTCCTTCTCATCAGGTTCTCCATTAGAGAGTCTATTCATCTCAGTGTTGGATTCCTCGACTCTGTTATCCTTATGATAATCTGCATCATGAACATGATAGAACTTAGACAAACCATATAACACCATTCCCTCCTAAAATGTAGATAAATTTGTATGGCATCAAAAATGAAGAATATTATCACATATTACTATCAGTGGCGGAGCCACATACATCCCAAATTTTTTAATTATCTATAATGTATTATTAAAATTGAAAATATAACTATAAATTTAAAAATAAATAGATTCTTGCCCCAGTAACACTTGCATATATAATTTTTGCCCCACCTTGGCCCCAGATTATTATATGAAGATGATCATATTCCATTTTGAACCTGCCAATTTTTAAAAACATTATGCAAATGTTAGCACATAGATAGAAGCATGTAACTAAAGGAAATCAACTTCTTATATGAATCACGTGAAATCAGATTGTTTCAGCTAAGTCAAAATTTGAACTTAGCAGAAAGATAACAAATGCTAACTTTGCAGTAAATGAAAGATGGTATCGGTGAACTCATACTTTTAGCAAATACTACTATAGAAGTACACAAAAGAATGAATACACGTTGAATCGCTCTCAATTTCAATAAAGAAAAATGAAGGAAGGTTGTGTCTTTCATGTATGCTACTGAGCAATTTAATTGAGTTCCCATTCAGTGAACATACCTGACCAACAGTAGACTCTGATACACTGATTAGGAAAACTCGCAGGTGAATTAGGGTTCATTCACAAAGTAAACTCAGGAAATAGAGAAATTTTGGTAGAAACTAAAATTAAAACCTTGATGTCTCATCTAAGAGTTCAAGCTCTGCATCAAACCCTGCTTCCTTCAACAGCCAAGAAACTTTTCTAACACTATCAAGCTGCGAATCCTACAAAAACAACAACAACATAACATAATAATTCAGTTAAAAGTTTAAGAAGTACAATTCCAAATCTTATGACAAGATAGTGAAGTACAACAGGTTGACGTAAACCACAAGCTGTACAAGTAAGAAAACGCTAAATAAAAAAGGTTAAAAAAGAGTTCATACTCCTTTAGAGTCGTAATGTAATAAGTAAGCATCAATTCTATCACCGATTCTGTCGAATATTTCTAGCAACAATAGTATGGCTTCCATCTCCATCTTCTTTTGTTGGGCCTCACACACCAACGCGTGACTGTCAACGTCATAAGTGGACCTAAAAATGAACATTTTAAGAGTCGCAATCTCTTTCACAACAATGTCTCGAATTTTAGAGGATCCTTCCAAACCAGGCATAACGCGGTCGCGAGCAAACATCAATAATGCCATCAATTCAAAAAGCTTTCGCTCGTTCAGGTACTTGAGAAATTCTTGTTCAATTTCAAGCGTTTTCGAAGCCAGCAATCTCACAAGTTCAGCATTCCTTTTCTGTGATGCAAATAAGAAAACTATGAGATGGTGCCAGATTCTTGCTTATTACTCCCTCCGTCCCAAAAAAAAAATAATCCACTTGAAGTTTTGAGATTCATACTGTTTTTAGTACAAATTTGAAAATTCAATGTGGACTATTTTTTGGGACGGAAGTAGTACATACTTGTCAACATATATTATAATTGGGAAATGTGAGATTGTTTTTGGTAGTCCTCTTACATGATTCTCACATGCATTTTTATGTTTTGCTTTATATTAGTTTTTTTTTTCTTCTTAAACTAAAAATGTTGTATCTTTTCGTTTTCCTTTCCATATTTTCTTTCCTATTATTTTTCAACATTTATTGTGATCTTTTATTACAATTATTAAATTTTTCATCTCTTTTTATCTTTTATTATTTACTATATGTGTTCTACGTTTTATCTCCCTTCATCTTCTGTTCTTTACTATCGATATTAAATTTCATATATATTTCTCTTTTATTATTTAATAATGTTATACTTTCATGTGTCCTTTTGTTTACTTTTAGCATTCAATAGAATAGTTTTTATTAAAACTATTTAAGCACCACACTTCTAATTCATCTTTTATGTTGGTTTTCTCTCTTCTCCCTTTATCTCTTATCCTGATTTTCTTTCTTTTTTCTCTTCTCTTGGAAGTTCTTTAAATATGTTTTAACAATTTGATTGAAAGTTCAAGTTGAATTCAAATAGAAGTAGGGATGCTGATGTTTGGCTATTCAAATAACATAAAGTTAAGTTGCAAAATCCAAAAGCAGTGAATGAAGGTTGTAATAAAAAAATTTAAATTGTTCTTGAATCATAGGCGTCTTCTTGATTTCAGGTAAAATTTAATGCGATTAATACTTTACAATTCGTAAACAATAGTTATTTATTTATTTTTTCACCAAACATTTTGAAACTATGACTCTCTTTCACATATTCAGGTTATTGAATTTATTGTTGTAAATGTCAAATTAAATTTATGTGAGAAAAATTATATACAGTTCCATTTTGATCATCTATATTATTGTAACAAAATGGATTATGAAAATAAGATAATGGAGCATTCTTTTGTTGTTTCTCTCTTCAAACTTAAGCATGTCATAATTACATATTTAGAGTTAACATATATTATTATACTCATGTTGTTTCATATTGAAGCACGCGCGAAGCGCGTTCGATCCAGTAATTAATAAGAGAGATATGATAATAAAAAGTACTATCATGAATATGAATTCAAATCTCATAAAGAGTGTGGGAGGACTAACATGTACTGGATTAGTAAGATGAAAAATCCACTTGAACAGGAGCGGCTCCAGCTCCTTTGGACTAGGTTGCGATATCCAATATCTCTGGCCTATCATATCCTTCCGCTCATGTGGAAGACGCATATCACCATAATCAAATTTTGACCTATTAAAATGAAAAGGAAGACCAAAAGCAATTACATTTCCGACCTACTTTCTCAAAAAAAAAAAAAAAAATTCCTCCTACCTACTCGAATTCAGATTAGTCGGTGGCTTCAGAAACCAGGGCATTTTTTACCAAGAAAATACATAATACTCCGACCCTGTCCCAACAATCCCAAAATTATTGTTCAGTTTGAGATTTTATTTTTTAAGTATAATTTGAACTAAAAATAAAATTCTAAACTAGACGATAATTTTGGGACCGGAAAGTATAATTAAACAAAAACAACAAGAATGCAAAAGTAAAGGAAAAAAAAAAAAGAATCTAAATCACACCAGAAAGTTCGAAGGACTAAATTCAGGGGGAGGACCCCTTTCATTCCCTCAACATCAATTCTGAGGTTGACCTGAGCCTCAAGTCGGGGCAGAAAAAATTTTGTAATCTTAAGGGATCCACTTCGAGCTGCCTTATGCAGTATAGGAACTAATTGTTCATCATAGCGTGTGAATGGAACGGCATTGACATCGGTGATTTCAAATAATCCGGCAGTTTTTCCATCCAGCACTGCTTTCAGACAATTTACAGAGTCAAAAAAGAACACCGAATGCAAAGGATCCAGACGCTTAACTTCTTCACTTGTAAGCTGGTTCAACATTTTCACAAACACATTTTTTCTGTCGTACTGGATGGCATCGTGGAGCTCTCTATCGAAATAGGCATCCCCCTTCACATAATCTGGCACGTCCGAATCCCAGTCCGATTCCGACATGTTCTCCGCCGTTGTAATCTCCGGCCCCCCTTCCACTTATATTTAACCTAATTCTCTTTCCAAGTGAAGAGGAGGACAAACGCAACATCTATATCTATATATGTGTATATATGGGCTGGGCTGGGCTAGGCTGGGCTGGGCTTTTAAATGGACTTGTACGTAATTTTGCTGATACAATTAGCTTGTTATCACACTATATTATAATTGGAGAATATGGATTCACTTTGGTAGTCCTTTCCATCACTTTTTTATATTTATTTTAAATATTATTTACATCAAACAATTAATTACAGAAGTATTACTTAACTCTTTCTCCTCAAAATTAATTATTATCATCATTTTAACCATGATAATTCTTTGATGTGACTTGTGGGTCTCTCCAAATTCCCTTTTTTTTATTTTTTTTCTTTTTAAAGTTTAAGATTACATAAATTCATAATTAATTAAGTAATTTGAACGCCTAGAAAACGGTTTTACTTATTAGTGATTTTAACCTCTTCAATTTTATTTTCTCAGGTTTCCCTACTTTTTTCCGCTTTAAACTTAATTGATGGTTCAATCATTTAATAATGAGTCTTTGAGGGCTCTTACACAACTAAAAATAATGCCAAGAGTTCTTTTTTTTTTTTGGTTGCAAAAACTAAAAAAATTAATGAGAGAGTTTTAGATATCCAATTTAGAAATACAATCATTGCTACTGTATTACCTTTGATTTTTTTACTATCTTTCCTATTCATTAACTTTGGTTTTTTTTTTTTTTGCTGCATGAATTTGTATGTTAGGTAAAAAAAAAAAAGAAGTAAAAGGTGGCCAGACAATGAAATACAAGTAATAATTTAGAAGTTCTTAATTACAAAAAAAAAATATTAGGTAAATTTGATAAGTCAAATAACAGTTTCAAGTTTAAACAACTATTAGCTTTCCAAATCACTCAATGTCTTTTCTTCTTCTTCTTTTTTTTTTTTTTGAACTTAATGATTACATAAATGTTTTGTTGATAAATAACTTTAAAGTGAAAAAGAATATTAAGAGTTTTGTAACTTAACTTAATTTTGTCAATATATAATTCTCAACAATGAAAGTGTTGTCATTCTCTCTTTTTCTCTTTCACTTCAAGTGCATTTGTTCTCTATATGCCATGATCTCTCCATCCCAAATCCTTCAAGATAACTAATAATTAATAATTAGTTTTGGCATCATTCTCTTTTTCCTCTTAAATTTAGTTTTCATCTTTCTTTTTGGAACAAAAGGCCAAAAACTTTTACAAAGATATGTATTGTAGTTTGCATCTTTGATAGCTTTTTCTTCTTTTAGTTGGTTTTGTTGCCTTTGGTTAGTTGTGATGAATAAATTGATTGAGTGTATGAGTATTTTTTTTTCTTGTGTGTTCAAAGTTAAAATACTATTTACACTTACACCAAGTTTATCATAAATTTTGTTTACCCTTGATAAAGTTGTAAAGATTTTTTCTTTTTTACAAAGTGCAATGAACAATTAAATGACCCTCAAATCTTTTTATTATTAAAAATTCAGATTTTTCTTTTTTAAATATTTATTATATTGCATCAAACTTATGAACGCGCGAAGCACGTCTATTTTTGGTAGTCCTTCCCACTTAACTTATTTATTTTGGTTAATGTTTTTGCATGCAATTGGAAAATTTTATAGTCTCTCATTTGATTTGGTCAAAAGCATTTTCCAATAAATATTTTGTCCTATTTATTTCATTATTATTTTACTTATTACTCATTATCTTTTATTTTATGATAAAAAACCACTCCCTTATATCTAATTTTATAATAATAAATTATCCTTTATTATCAAATAATATAATGACCCTTTGATCTCCCTTTCATTAAATTTTCATTTTAAGGTTACAAAACAATTATTTCTCATTATTAGGTGAATTTGATAAGTCAAAAATCGGTTTTAATATTCTAACTATTAATTTCAAAAGTAAAACTGATTGGCCTAAAAACGGTTTTCGTTAATTATAATCTCTTTGAATTCCTTAATGTCTTTTTTTTTCTTCTCTTTTTCTCTTTGAATTTAATAGGGTTTTTAATGGTTTTTTTATTGTTCCATAACTCAAAAGAATATTAAAAGTCATGTAGCATAAATTTACACACATATAATTCAAAAGAGTGTAAGATTTAGTCACTTCTCTCTTTCTCTTTGTTTTTTTCCCCTTCAATCTTTATTTTTACCTCTTAATTTCAAATCTATCAGAGATTTTCATCTTTTGTTGCTCGTCTCCATCCTTTTTTTTTCAAATTTTTCCTTCTCAAATTTAGTTTTAGTTTTTGATATTTTTTCTCTTCTTTTTTTTTTTTTAAAAAAAAATTGTTCTTTTTCTCTTCATGTAATATATAAACTTGATTTATTTTATTTCTCATTGGTATTGTCTTTTTCTTTTCACAATCAGAATACTATACGTTATCTCCGTTGAAATAATAAGTAACACATTTTAGTGATATCATTTATTTTTACAATGTAAGATTATAAATTTTTAACTACCGATAAATTTGTTAACATGTTTTGTAGATATGTATCAAACAAAAATGTAATAAATAATTATTAAAAATTTTTATTTATTTTTATAATGTACATTACGTAACTTAATTCTACATAACGTACGCGCGAAGCGCGTCTAATCCATCTAATACTTTGTAAATACTCCGTAATTTTGCTAACAACCTCAGCCTTTAATTTGCCGGGAGAAATAAAAAATTTTGCTAGGGCTGTTTGTTTCATATTTTCCGTGATTGCCATAGGAACAAGGAACTATGGCGTACCAGAAACGAGGCCTCGAAAATGTTCAAGTGTTCAAGTTTTGGTTTGGTCAAGGAAATCCGCCGTTCAAACTTGATTTTTGCCAAACAAGCGGCAGCAGTCGATTCAACAGCAGCAATGTTGGATGCCTTTAGTCATGTGTATGTGCAGCATTTAAATGACACTAGTTGCACGATGTAATCGGGGTATTATATCCCCGCTTTTATAATAGCTACTAGATATAGGCTTCAACCCTCCTCTTTTGCACTAATTCCGTTGTACTTCAGTAAATTGGTACTTCATTCGTTTTGGAATGTATCTCCGCAGCTTTCAGTACTCTTATAATTGTTCAAAACAGATCTTCATTTGTTGTTTTCGTTTAGTTTTGTTTTTTCTTCTTTTTTAAAAAATCAGCATAATAGAGTATAATTATGAGTGCGTGCATGATGCATGATTTCAAGTTTATCTTATTTTCTTCTCTTTGTAAAACAATGCCATTTTTTAAAGTCAAGCTGCCCGCTGTTCCATTTACTAGGCTTCACTGGATGAGAAAAACACAAGGAGCGACGAGACATTTTAGTTGCCATGACAAAAACACAAGCATAGCTTAAGAGACGATACAAATCCTGTACTTTTCTTCTCTTTCTTGTGAACTTCACATTCTGTACGTAATTTTCTTCTCTTTCTTTCATTGTGATTTTTGAAATACCTTCTCTCTCCCTTGTTGCAGGCAGACATCTTTCCAAATTATCTATCTGTACGAAGTACTTCCATAATCATGCTAAAGCAACTTGGGTTTGCTTTGAAGAGAGAAGACACTAACTTTAAGTGACATGCGCTGCTTTCGCATTGGGATGAATACTAGGGATGCAGAAGAAGAATTCCATCGCTCCATTGACCGGATATACTACAGTCAAGGAAAAGTCAAGTTTCTTCAGCGTCTTTCGGTTTCAGCAGAGAACCAGGAGAGCCAGTTACTAATAACCTTGCAGTAAATCACTTGGTTCAACCTCCTTCATCATCCTTCTCCGCGAGAGCGTTCCACACATGCCGGTTTCCAACGTCTACGTCTGTCCCTAAGCTCTGTACACCAGCTGAAGCTCATCATCGTATGAAAAACATCAGCAGCAAGCGATCAAATTTTCTTTGTGCCGTGCGGGGAGCTTATTATGGTCTGACCTTGATGAGATTAAGGGCAAAATGAGAGTTCTTGCAAAGTGGATTCAGTGTTATTATTGCCAAACTTGGAAGTGTTTTTGTGGTACTTGCATGCGTACATAGTCCTGTAGTAGTAGTGCAACTGAATTTAGTTGAGTTTTGAATGGTTTCTGCTGCATTATGTTCCAAAAAGATTAAGAATGACCCGGCTTTTTGCTAGTGCTAAAAATCCAATCAGCAGTAAAGATGTGGAGTGTGCTGGAATATCATGTGAGGGCACGAACAGAAAACACCAACTATGTACTAGAGTTGCAACTGGTTTGAAGAATGGTGCTTTGATTGTGGAAATGAAGGTTTGGATTCAAGCTGCAATCTGTTCTAAAGCATTTACGGCCGTGCACACTTGTTCAAAATGGAGCATTGATACTAAAGGTTGTGAGGTATGGAACTTGGTGCTGGAAAACAACTCTATCAGTGACTTGATCCCCAAACCTTGGATTGTATTGGTAACTGCCTTCAAAGGAAGTACTAGACTAAGTTTCCAATTTCAGTACGGTTCTAAACCATGGGACAAAATGGTGACCGGCTTCAAAGGAGGCACAACTCTTGGTTCAGCATTCCAATCGGTTAAGAATTTCAGAAAATGGCGAAGAGCTGACTTGAGGATGGAATTGTGAGTATAACCTTTCAATGATAGAACTCCTAGTTTATTCCTTGATGGTTATTTGCTCTAGTTTTTAGTATTTAGTATTATTATCTATACTGTCAGTTGTAATAGCTATTTGGAGTTGTAATTGGTGTTTTCTTTTGAAACACAGTCTTGGGGACAAAGACTGTTTTAAGGGGAGGGGTTTGTCATACCCCTGAACTTAGTTGTAGGAAGTTAGAAAATAAAATTTTTGAAAGTAGCCAGACTATAAATAGTAGATTGGAACTGTAAACCAATTATCAGAAATGTTATACCAAAACTGAATTTTCAGTTCTTTTTCTTCTTCGACTTTCAGTCCCCGAAACCCTAACCCCCAATCTGAACTTCTCCTCTTCTGTAAGTCCGGCCACCCCCAAGGCCCCCGGATCGTGACAAACTAATAGTAACCTTTAAGACCTAAAAAAAGTGATCTTTCTCCCAACCCAATTATTCTTCTTCCTGGCCGGCGGCTACCAACCGATGGGCAGAAACATGCCTGTATGGATGAAGGAGGTATGGTTTGTGATTTGATCATATTGGCATTAAAATTTGAGTCCTCTTCTTCATTAGTTGGTTAGTTTTTTTCCTTCCTCGGAAAAAAGTGGCGTCTTTTTTTTATTATAAGTTTGTAAGGTTCAGCAAACTGTTATCTTTTTTTTTGGCTATTTTTCAATTATAAGTAATTTTTGTAGCACTATATTTGATGCTGAAAAAGTGGCGTCTTTTTTTTATTATAAGTTTGTAAGGTTTAGCATATTGTTATCTTTTTTTGGCTATTTTTCAATTATAAGTAATTTTTGTAGCACTATATTTGATGCTGTGGGGGGTTTGATTTGATTGGCTTCAGGAACAGAGTAATACTAGTAATAGTAGTAGTAGCCATGGGGATGAACCTGGGGTAGAAGGTACTACAAGAGTTGATCCGCAAGGATGATAAGAAGGGTTTTGTGTCTTTCAGGTACTACAAGAGTTGATTCGCAAGGATCATAAGAAGGGTTTTGTGTCTTTCATCCGGCGCCACTATTCTGATAAGAATAGTGATAGTTTCTTGACTATGAAAAATATGTTGCATCCTGGTGACATAATGAAGAATTATGATAGTTTCAGGACTATCAAAAAAATGTTGCGTTCTGGTGACATAATGATGTGGATTTGTTCATATTCCGCGGAGAGATGTGCCACTGCTCTGCTGGAAGGAAAGACTGGAGTTTGTGTTGATCTTAATGTGCCACTCCAAAATGGATGCTATCCTTTGCACCTTGTGGCTGAGAATTTACGCTCTCGCTTTACGGATTTATTCCTGCGCCATGGAGCTCGCACTGATCTTTGTTGCGCCGTTAAAGACTCCAAGTACCTCGGAATGCTCCCCTTAAGCATTGCACTTGAGGCATTGCGTTGTCATGACTATCTAAGGGATTGGAATCCTTCCAAATCAACCTTCAAGTTGATTTATTGTCTTTGCTTCCCTGAACTGGTACTACTTAATCTCTCTAACTTTTGCCCTTAGCTTGACATTTTTGGGTCCGGAAATGATGGTCCAGTTTGGACTCATTCATTGTTCAAATTGTACTAGAATGAAAGTCCGAAGTGGACAATCATTTTGGGACAGAGAGAATGGTTTTTTATTGTCTGACCTTTCTCTCTACCTTGCATGCAGCAAGAGCCCTTGGAGACAGTAAAACTACTTTCTGAGAAGACGCCAGAGCTGGAGAGTATAACTTCCTCTGTTGTTCGAGAGGGAAAGCTTGTCGAGCTTGCTGCGCTGTTGTTCGTGGCCTGGAACAAGTTGCTTGTTCCAGTCAGTGGTGACGATGCAGACAGCTCTTTTCTAGGGCAATGCATCACGAAAAATTTAGCTTCACTAGTTGATCTAGAGTTTAAACTGATCAACACCGGCAGAAATGTAGAATTGAGCGAATGCAGAAAGATGCAAGATGCCATGGCTTCTGCAACATTGATGCTCACTGTTTTCGAAAGGAGTGGTGAACTTATTGATAGGTTTCGCCTGCTGTGCTTTGATCGCGTATGATTTCAGAAACTGATTCCTAATTTTACCTAAATTTATCCTAATATACTTTTAAACTTCACATTCTGTAATTTTCTTCTCTTTCTTTCATTGTGATTTTTGAACTTTCACACTTAGTGGCTGACTAGAAATACCTTCTCTCTCCCTTGTTGCAGGCAGACTTCTTTCCAAATTATCTATCAGTACGAAGTACGATAATCATGCTAAAGCAACTTGGGTTTGCTTTGAAGAGAGAAGACACTAACCTAAGTGACATGCGCTGCTTTCACATTGGGATGAATTCTAGGGATGCAGAAGAAGAATTCCATCGCTCCATTGATTGGATACTACAGTCAAGGAAAAGTCAAGTTTCTTCAGCGTCTTTCGGTTTCAGAGAACCAAGAGAGCCAGTTACTAATAACCTTGCAGCAAATCACCTGGTGCAACCTCCTTCATCATCCTTCTCCGCGAGAGCATTCCACACATGCCGGTTTCCAACGTCTACATCTGTCCCTAAGCTCTGTACTCCAGCTGAAGGTCATCATCATATGAAAACTATCAGCAGCAAGCGATCAAATTTTCTTTGTGCCATGCGGGGGGCTTATTATGGTCTGACCTTGATGAGATTAAGGACAAAATGAGAGTTCTTGCAAAGTGGATTCAGTATTATTATTGCCAAACTTGGAAGTGTTTTTGTGGTACTTGCATGCGTACGTAGTCTCCTGTAGTAGTAGTGCAACTGAATTTAGTTGAGTTTTGAATGGTTTCTGCTGCATTATGTTCCAAAAAGATTAAGAATGACCCGGCTTTTTTAATCCTTTTTTATCCCTCATTGTATTCACGTAGTGATGCTTTGAATCGATGCAAATGCCACACTCGTCTTTTTCCACGTGGATTGTAGTTAGGGCACTGTACTTAGAGATTCTGCCAATCAACTCCTCAAAATTAATGAACGACGGCAAACTTCTTTGGAACCATCGACTCCCCTAATTTGAGGGGAAATTATTTATTCATCACAAGCCCTTACCTCGGAGTGAGACCCTGGAAAGGAACGGCGACCACTCTGTTCAAACCAGTATTTGTTTGGTAGAAGTTATTAGGCGATATCATTACATATTCCCTCCACATGCAGAAGAAAAATCTTGGTTGGTATAAAATTTGCCGGATACTCTTATGGGGCAACTAACTAATGGCTTAATCAAAAAGGAGAAATGAGCTAAATGAAGCAACCTCTTTTCTGCTATCCGGGGACCAGGATCACTGAGCTTTCATTTATGCTGTAGCTAGCTTTCTTGAATACACAACATACATAGGGTCTGAACGTCCAGGGTTTGGAGATATATCAACAGCCTGGAGAACAGTAGCTTAAGATTAAAACTCTGGTAAATGAAGCCAACACAAAATTTATCATTGATATAGCAGAAGGAGCTAGAAAGTAGAAACAAGGCAATCAAGAATCTTAAATTTTGTAGAGTAAGAAATTCTGGGAATGCCTAATCATAACTAGCAGCATGAATAATGTCAAGCTCCATTGCTCCCTGATGATGGGAGAAAGGTTAAGATTGTTTTATTGGGCCACACAAAGGGGAAAAAAAAACTTAAAGCTTGAACATGTAACAGGTACGGCATTGGCAGGACAAACGGTACATTCATTTTAAAAAGGGAACTTTTCAACCTGCCATGTGTGTTCACTACAGGCTTCAAAACGAGTGAATGATTGTTATTTAGGCGTTATAATTTTTTCCTGGTGAAGAGACTTTAGCACTGATACAGATTGCATTAATACCTGAGGCGGTTCAAACCCTCCAGCATAGTGGAAGTAGGATCCAACAATCATCACGTGATCCGCATCTCCAGTTGATGTCCATATTGAGATGGCTTTGGTAAAGAAACATCGATTGGAGAAACTGATGTATGAGAAGAATCCAAGAGATTACATATAATCAGAACCGCAAAATGGGCAGTTTCTTTAATTGAAAACTGACAAGAGATTGTGTAAAAATTGAGTGAACTTTTAACCTACTAATACCACAGTCAGTTATGGGCCACTAGATGCTAAGACAGCAACAGATTTTACCTCATTATAGCGAGTCCACCTGGTTTAAGAATGCGCCTCATCTCCTTAAAAATCTCAATAGGCTTTGTAAGATAGTCAACACTGACCTGCAAGATGCATCATCCAACAGTTCAATCACAACTAAATGCAAATTGGAGCATTATCACTTGGCACCACGAGATCTCATTACTGATAGTGATATGAGATTGACATAAAGTGAGCTACAAATGTAACACAACAACAGGTATGATGGCAAGCCAAGCTTACAATTCAGAAGACGGAAAAGGTACATACGACATTTGTGATGACGTTAAAGGTGTTGTCTTCAAATGGGAGTTTCGGGTTGACATTCAAGTCTTGCACAATATATTCTGTCAGAACCTGGAGCAAGAAAAAATGAATTTTGCATTAAACTTGTTCCTCTATCACAAACTATATCATTTTTGTTTGATCTTTAATGAGCTGCATGAAAGGAAATTAATATCACAAAAAAATTTAATGTTTTTAGCAGTAGTGAATGAATATCACTATAATGAAGTATCCCCCAAACAAAATCAGAAAATCAAAAAAAAAAAAAAACTCACAGGATTCCGTTTCAGTTCTTCCTCATTCATACCCATACCAACAATTCGTTCTTGTTTATACCCTTTTGGGTAATGGCTGACCTAGATGACACATAAGAAAAGAGTTATAATGTATGTAATTCACCAACTCAAATGTATTTTCTAAAGCATTGCAAAATGTCTCACCCAGCTACTGCACATGTCAAGAATAGCTACTCCAGGAGTATCACTAGGAGGCAAAACTTCAGAGTAATATTTTGTAAGTGCAGCAATAGCCGGGTCATCTATATGGGTTACAAAGCGTGGAGCTTCATAGAAATAGGAGTCTGCTGACCTAAAAGTTTGGACATAAACAAAACCATAAGTCAGCTTATTATCCATATTCTGACAGGGAACATCTAAACAGGAGATTTTAGTTGCAGACGAACTGCAATAGGTTAAGCTCTCGGGTACTGAACGGAAAACATAAACCAATTTATGTTCATCTAAAAGTTTCTCAAAATGTAAATGGTGTCACATTTTCAATGGCCAACTCATCTAATGAGAGCAGAAAGCCAATGTAATCTCAACATTTTCTGACAAGTTAGATAATTACTCTCCATTGTCAATGGATGAATTCCGTTTTCAATAAATAGTCAGTCAATAGAAATTTGGCAAGCATATAACTGACTTCTCCTTCATAATAAAGTTCTAAAGCAGAAGGCATTATCAGGCCATCTCAGCTTCTATGAAAGAAAATGAATTAATGATAAATTAACGGAACCATTCATTCGGTAATCCCAATTTATGATTACACTACATTCTCCAAACCCTCAAACTAAACGCTAATAGGAGGCCAAATCCTCCAAGAAAGAGCATCTGATGTATCATCTAGCAGAAGAACAATTCTAACCCTGTAGCTTGAATACACAACTTTATTGAAGTAAAGAAATTTACTCATCAAACCGCTGGAAGTCCTCTTCCTTGAAGGGAAATTGCTCCGGCCAATCCACATTTTTCAATACCTGTATGTTGAAGGAAAGCGAAATTGCTAGAGTGAATAAGGAAAAATGAAAAAAACCAGAGGGCAGAGTTAATGTACACTCTTTTAACTAGAAATCCAATCAACCAGTCACAAACTTAACAAACAAACCAAGAAATGAGCATAATTGAACAATGAAAGCCACAACTTCTTAAAGCTAAGAATCAGCATTGTGGAGCATAAAGATTGAATCTTTTTACCTCCTCAATGACACCCTTTTGCCTGGCAGAAGCTAAGAAAGAATTGCTACCAAGATATCCGGCCATACTCATGAACTGTGACCAAAATGAAACTCCTAATCCCACAACAGCCCTCCTACGTAATTTATACCAATGGGTCTTCTGTTTGATTGCTCTAGCAAGTTGATGAACAGGAAATGAACGAGTTCGAATAGATGATGAAATTGAGGTAGTTAATACTGGTAAAATGTGATGAACACCCGCCAAATTTGGCAGATTTTGTTGCAATTTTGTACCAAAACGAACCATTTTCTTCTCTTTCCTTCCTATCACAAACGTCAGCCAATTTCCTCTGTAATGAATTGCCGCTGGAGCTTATTGGGCCTCAGTTTGTCATGAATCTGTGTAATAAAGAGTAACGGGCCTTCTAGATTATTAGTAGATACCTTAAGTTTGTGATACCAGTTTACTTTACGTACGTGGCTTTATATTGAACAAAATTAATAAGTAATTATATTAATTTTGGGTTAAAATCTGTTTTACCATGTTATAACACGATAAACGATATCAAATTTTCATGAAATATTTTTCAAGAAATTGTACCATATTTTACCAATGTTATATATATATATATATATGCTTAACATATATAAATTTTGAACCATACGTATCATTTTTCATCTAAAAATTATGTAAGTTTTTGTTAATTTTAAATTTATATTTTTCATATATAATTATATTCTAAAAAAGGAAAAAATGAAATATAATTAACATAGATACATCAATATCAATCTATATATAAATGAATACTAACACGCATAAAGTGACTTTTATATTAACTATAAAATTTTCAATTACAAAAATGCAAAAATTAAAAATTAAAATTTAATAGTAAAAGGGAGAGAAACAAGGACATTATACTTGTTACTTGTTTGTGTTGAGTGATAATTTCAAGTATCATATTAATAATATTTGTGAAATAAAATAAAAATCATAAGTGTGTACATCATATAATACAAAATTGATATAATAAATTAAATAAAATCATGCATTTTTGTTTTAGAAAAATAAAAGTTGTACTCCCTCCTTCTATAGTATATTTCTTTCCAGGGTTTGTAAAATTTTTAAAATATGTTTCGTTTCACAAAATCGAGACAATTTTGTCTTATTTTTTAACAATATCTTTGTATTGGAAATGAAAATGTATTTAAAAAGACATTATAGGTGATGAGTTCTATGGATAAGGAATAAGGGTAACTTTGTATTTCTAACACATTATTTAATGTATCAATTGTATGAATGAAATTACTATAAAGACATATTTTAGAGTGGAATGATGATTTTACCCCAACAACTTTCAGCATCCAGAACAATCTTTCCTTTACTTTCCAAGATTGCTCCTTATCAAAGTCAACCAATTACAGTAGAACGTTGGTAAATTAATAATCTATAAATTAATAAATTCTAGTAATTATTAATTTTTTCCGATCCCAACTTAAGACCAGTACAAAAAGTGAAAATAATCGATAAAATGATAAGATAAATAATATTTGTGAAAATCTTCTATATATCTATAGGTCCCAATAAAATCATAAATTAATAAATACCATAAAAGTAAAAAAAAATAATAATAACTATAAATATTTACTAAAATATGAACAGATGATACTTGTTTTTCAGTCCTTAGGAATGATATGAACTATGTATTAATCTTTAGTATCCAAAAAGAGTTGTAATAATTGATAGATTCGAATATAAAGACAATTGCAAATTACGTAATTTAGTGATGGTATTTTTTTCTCATATAAATTCTTTAAATTAATAATTTATTAATTTATCGATCATTTAATAATTTTATAAATTAATAAATGTTGGTGATCCCAACATTATTAATTTATAGAAGTTTTAATGTATTCTCGTATTTACTGATCTCTTGCTCTCGGTCTCCTTTTCACCTCTCTTTAGACATTGGTCCTTTTCTGTTCTATGGGAACACTGCGGCTATCATTTTGTTTATTGAGGTAACAATGGATTCTTTCCACCTTCTGGCTATCCTTGTAATAGATTAAGAAGAAAAAAAAATTTATTTACATCTTAGCTAAACCGAGTCTGATTTTCCAGGAACAAATGCAAAAAATCTGAAAGAGGTGCTTTTCTGGATTTCAATTATTCCATATGAGATGTCAATTATTCAGCTGAATTTCTCTTATCTATCGCAAACCATCCACCCAGTATCACATAGGCCTTAAGGATAAAAATCTGTTTGATCTCCAAAATCCTCATCACTAAGGCCCAACCATCTTGGATAGAAAATTTGATTCTTAACAGCTCTCAAGAAATTCTCATGTTAGGAAACCTCATAATTATTTGAAGGAAATTGCTATCGGTGTGAGAGAAAATTTGGAAGGAGGATAAGAAGGAGAAGAAATTTTTGAGCGAAATATTAGGATATAGGAAGATAAAAAATTGACTTTGATTAGGGGCAATTTTGAGAAACAAATAAAAGATTGCACTGGATGCTAGAAATTGTCGTGACAAAATCATCATCCTTTAGAATGGAGGGACTCAGAGAGTATTAGTTAGATAACAACGAAATAATTTTAATATATGAATTATCAAACATCCAAACACAATAATTGGTATTGCAACTTAATTTCTTGCCAATTCTTTATATCTACTAAACAAAGAAATAATGATTGAATTGTGATCTTAATATCACATTTTCAGTTTTATAAGATTTTAATTTTATTTCAATTCCAACTCTATCCAAAAAAAAAAAAAAGCCATAATATAATTGGGGGGAAAAAAAAGGAACAACACTTTTAGGAGTTGGTACAAAATATGATACTAAAAGTTAATCATTACTAATGTGGTCGTTTTTTTTAGACTTTGCACGTAACTAAGAATACAATTATCTAACAATTAATTTGTATGTTAAGTATTTATTTTACTCCTCATTAAATACATTGAAACTATAAATAAGACTAAATGAAAATAGATTAGTATCATTTATTGAGGGTAAAGTTAGAAAAATAGTCATTAATTTGCCTAAAATTTGTAAAACGACCTATATTTTGAAAAATTTCTTCAAACCTAAAACTGACATGCAATTTGAAATGGAGGGAGTGCTAAAAGTTGATGATATTAAATGAACGTTGCCCTCACCATAAAGTTTCACCAATTCAATCATCAAGCTAGCTGTACAGTGCTTCACATTTACATCCTGTCTTAGTCAGCCCTTTCATCATTTTTTCTTCCTGACGAAATGGATATTAGATCATTCTGATATGAAACTCAGCACTTTGCAAACACTTGTTGTAATTTAATAGTTTCATGAGTCATTTTCTGTTATTTGTCTTGCATTTTCCCCTTACTTAAAGAGAAGGGACATAGGAAATCCATATGATTCATGCATTGGAAGTTACCAGATTGAAAATGCCATTTTACAAAGTTGCTGGTTTCTGGCATATTGTATATAGTTTGGTGCGAGCTAGCTATACATTATTACTTTTTGCAATTTGAGCGGTGGAGATGTAATTATTATTATTATTATTATTATTATAGTTAATTTCAAAAAAGAAATTGATAAGCCTGAATTTTCGTTATGAATTGTTTTAGGTGGTTCCGGATACATGCACAATAAACTGAAAAGGAAGTTAAATGCGTTTAGAATTAGGATAGGGTTAATATCAAATACGCCCTCGACGTTTAATAATATCTAAAATATCCTCACCTTTACAGAAAATATCAAATACATCCTTTGGCTGGCCAAAAATAGAAGTCAGAGCGTGAAACAGACTAAATTACCCCTAAATACTTCGTAAAGAAAACCAAAACATCTTCTTCCTCTTTCTTTTTATCGGTTCCTTCGTCCCATCATCCCCCACACTCTCTTCTTCCCCCGGCCGCCACCATATTCTCCCACTTAGGCCAATGCTTTCTTCATCAAATAAATAAATACTTCCCCATGACCACCAGACGTCAACTGTGGGCATCAAAATTGAGAAGCCACCACCTTTATTAAATTCTAGATCATCAATTTTTTATCTTGAAAAATTCATAGACTTTTTTGTAAAATTTCGCCACCGAATCTAGAAAGAAAACTCCAGTCTCTTTGGGCTTTGTAGAACCATTAGTGTGGAGATGGTGTTTCAGTTTGGGGGTTGCAAATTGCAGGGTGGTTATTTAGAATTGACTTTTTTATACCAAATCCTTATCAACTGACTTGATTTCTGGGGATGCATTGTTTCTAAACCACTATATTTGCTTTTGGCTAATTTGATGCATTGAACAATATAATTCCATGAACTTGTGGGTTGCTTCTTGAATAGTTGAATTAGAGCAAATTTTTTGGGACGTCAATATAGGGTAGCAGCGGTTGCTTGTGGTTCGACGCCTGACGTCTTTTTGGCCGGAGAATGGAAACAAAAATGTTTTGTGGTTTTTTTTTTTGGTTATGATTATGATGAAGGGTAGAAAAGTCATCACAACCCTTTTCTTTATGACATCATAGTGAAACGTCATTTCTCCGGCACTGGAGGGTGAATTTGATAGTTGACCCGCCGGTCAAAGGATGTGTTATAATTTTTTCAAACGTTGAGGATGTTTTAGATATTGGACCAAACCTTGAGGGTGTATTTGATATTAACCCATTAGGATATAATTAATATGTGAGAAATCAATTTGTGAATAAGTAATCATTTTATTTAATGAACAACATTGATACGTACATCACAAACAAAATTCATAGACAATAATCTCATCTTCACAAATGAAGATTGTGTTGCAAAACTCATTTTTATAGATGGTTGAAATTTATTGGTGAATCTTACATATACAGAAAGACCCAAAATTATATATATATATATATTTATATATATATATTTTTTGCACTGACAAATATGATTGTAAATTTTTAGACAAAGAAAGTATTTTTTTGACAATAATTATATATATCTTCTGACATATACAGCGGTGACAAATTCAAAGTGCTAGTACTAACAAGTAACAACAAAATAGTGTAATTCAGCATGACAGCAAACTAAAGTTAGTTTATTAAATACGTAAATTTAAAATGGTAGTAGTATTAGTATAAAAACAAGTGATTGATTGCAATCAGAGTTGGCAATTGCGTGAAATAGCAAACCATAGTTGACTTGGGATTTGGATTTCTTAATCCAGAGTTTTGTTTGTACTTTGTATAGCTTGTATTTATACGCAATGTTTTAAATGTGGATATAATCACAATAATAATTCCTTGATCCTATATTTGTGGATCGTTAATGTCACGCTTGACTGCGTGTTCGCCTTCTTATATATACATAATACTTATTCTACGTGTAAACTCGGGACTAACAACTCTACATTTGATGGGTGAGACTCTAACAGTCTTTTGGAGATTCCGTAATTTGATGTAGGAACAATACATGACAACTTTTGAGATCCTTAGAATGGATTCTGATTTTTGGGTCTCGTTGCCTTCAAGCAAATTGACAACTATTCCCACAATTGCATCCAATTACTTATATTGTGGACATCTTCAAACACCATTTCACAACTAATTTTTCGATTCGTGTTAGTTGTTAAAACCTCTTACTTTACATTACATTTTTTGTTCTTTTAATAACAATAAAAAAGTAACAAAAAAGAAAACTCGGTTCAATCTTCACAAGCTTCCAAGAAACTTCCTACCAAATATTAGCAGCCTTTAGCGTCGGTGACTTAATAATGTCAGTCATAATACATGAAATCCCAATTATTGTATGTATGCTCCTATCAAAATTCATCCTATAATGTACTTTATTTATTCTAAAATTATTGTCCACTTTGAGATTTCACTTTTAGTACAATTTGAACTAGAAATGAAAATTCAAATTGGACAATAATTATGAGACGGACAGAGTAGAATAATTTTTTGTCACTTACTATATGAAATCAAGCCATTGTCAAAAAAAAAAAAAGATTTTGGTACAAGTTATCAAACGGAATCTTTTCTTTTCTTTTTTTTTTCCCCGCGGATTTGGAACCATTCATTAGGTCAGAAAAAATAATTGAATAATATATAGTAGTTCTTTTTAAGTCTGTTTTGAAGGTATGGGATATAGGTTATTATGCTTTACGGACATAATATTATTTTTCTGAACGAAATTCAAATGTAGATTAGTAAGATGAGTAATTTCGAGCCCAAAAGGGATTTATGATTTATCCAAACAAGTATCAATATTTATTACCCCTATAAATAATCCAACCCCATCTTCAATAACCAAAGCTCTCTACTCTGTTTCGCCCATTATCTTCAAAGATATCAAAACTTCTGCTTTTGGCTGTTGTTATCACCATACCCTCATTCATTACTCCCTTTATTCTGATCTTCATTTCTCAAAATCAAGCCAATCAGCTAAATCCAATCATCCTCCTAGAACAGGGAAATTGTTTTTTTTTTTTTTTGTGTCCCAATGGATCAGCCCAGATTCGTCATTTCTGCGGCTGAGGCTGAATCAATGGCTCAATCATTAGGCCTTCCATCCGTTCTCCACCTCCTCCCGGCCTTGGTACAGCCAGCCCAGGAACTCGCCCGCCCTCCAATCTCCAACTACCACGTTGGCGCCGTCGGCCTCGGCTCCGACGGCCGCGTTTTCCTCGGTGTCAACCTCGAGTTCCCGGGTTTTCCTCTCAACCAATCCGTCCACGCCGAACAATTCCTCCTCACCAATCTCGCCGTCCACCGATGCCCCGGAATTGTTGCCTTGGCGGTCTCCGCCGCACCCTGCGGCCACTGCCGCCAGTTCTTACAAGAACTCCGCAATTCATCCTCCCTCCAACTCCTCATCACATCCGAACACCCGAATCTATCTCCATCGGCTCTTAATCAAAATCTAGAGAATTCTCTTCCTTTTAAGCCCTTATCTGAATTTCTGACCAGCCCATTTGGCCCTAGTGATCTGCTCGCTGAAGATTCTCCGTTGCTGCTTGAGACTCATCAGAATGGATTGTCTTTAATAGGTGGAGAAGATGATATCCATCAATCCGCAGAGAATCACGCAATTTCACGCAATGGGGTCACAAAAGGATTCGATCTTGATGGGGAACATAAGAATCTGAGTAACGGGTTTTGTCATGATTCTGGAAAAAAGGATGCCCTTTTAAGAATTGCAGCACTGGAGGCTGCCAACCTTTCACATGCGCCGTACAGCAATTGCCCTTCAGGTGTTGCATTGATGGATTGTGAAGGAAAGGTGTACCGAGGCTCTTATATTGAATCCGCCGCTTATAATCCCAGTTTGCCGCCGGTTCAGGCGGCGTTGGTTGGATATATAGCTGGAGGAGGTGGCGGATATGAGAGGATTGTGGCTGCAGTTTTGGTGGAAAAGGTGGGTGCAAAGGTCACTCATGAAGATATTGCAAGGTTGTTTGTGAAGAAGATTTCGCCTAAATGTGAATTCAGAGTGTTTCATTGTCACTCGATTTAAGACCGCTGTGAATAAAACTGTTTGCGATTCTGTAGATCATATGTTCCCCAAATCTCAGCTGGAATGGAAATATTTACTCAATAATAGTGAAGTTGTTCATTTTCTCTAGCTGAGTTACTATTCTTAACAAAGTCCTTTGTTGTGTTGAAAATTAGACTTAAAAATCTTCATCCGGTATAACCATTACTTTCTGCTTGTGGAAGCTTTGATGCCTGTTAGATCACCGGGTATGACTTGAAGATATGAAGAATGGGATATGTTGATCTCTCATTCTGCTTATTCAGAAGTATTATCTCAGATCACAACTGGTGCAGGTTGACTGAAGCGTAACTTTTTTTTTAGATGGGTTTTATTGGCCTCTCATTGTCAATTTGATCAATTGTATATTCCAATTTGTTTGCATCATTGGACCTAACCTTCTTACTGCTTTCTGATTATAGCTATTGAGGTAGATGGATACCAAATGTTGAATTGTAGCAACTTTGGCCTTTTAATCTTTCTTTCTTAATAATATTTCACTTCTCCTTTTCTTCTCACTTTTTGATGGGCTTTTGTTTGGAAGACATTCTAAATGGATGACAATCTCCCATCAAGATAAGTTTTATAGTAGATATATAATCATTGGTTGGTTATAAAAGCCCTCTGAGTTGGAATTCCATTAAAGTGAGCTTTTTAATAGACTTTGTGCGTGGTAAAGCAGGGAATCCACCACTCATGAGAATGAGACTGAATGATCAGCTACAGTACAACACCAATCTTTACAATTTCACAGCACTTTTTCTTCTCAACCCCCACTAGGGGAGACAGACACTGAATCACATAATGATTTTTACCCATAGGAAAAGAAGATGTACTTTAGAATGCGTATTTGTATTTTGGTAAAATCCATTGACTTTGGTTTTAGTTCTTCACAAATCCAAAGGGTTGGATAAAGAATTGAGCAAGCAACAGAGTCTCATACTCATACCAATAACACATAGATGGAGTGGATTAACAGTGCAGATACCAGATACCAAATGACTTAAACCAAACTCAATTAGAATCTCCACATTGGATGGATGCCTTTAAAGTAAAGTGAAAGTGAAAGCTTTGTTTTTTTTTTTTCCTTTCCCAATTTAGGGCACTTCTGAGTGGTTATGCAGCAGCCACCAAAACATAGGAGGAGAGGCGAGTCATTAGTGGCAAAGTCGTATGAAACTCTGAATGCATTTTGCTCTTGGGATCTTTTTGTTGTATTCCTCAGTACTAGTTTGTTAGCTTCTTTCCTTCGGAACGAATTCTGGAGGGTTTCTGGGAGTTTCCTACAGACCCACGCGTGATGTACTTAGATGGTAAATAGAGAGGGTTTTATTGATCTTTGGTGGAAGATTTTGTGACCCAAAATCGCTATCACTTACATATTTACTTCTCTCTATCACTTTTAGTGTAACATTTCATCATATATTGGATTGGATATTTAGTAGACCTTCAGTTACTTGATTAATTGAGCTTTACTTATCATATAGTTAACACTAGTAGTGAATAAAAAAGACCAACAGATGCATACTTTTAAGTGCTACTCAAAAAGTGAAATGGAAAAACAATAGATCAAACTCTCAAATTGTACAACTGCCCCTTCCCATTCATAAATCTATAAACAACTACCAAACTCACCAAAAACAAATACTTCCCCCGTCCCATAATTATTGTCCAGTTTGAGTTTTCATTTCTAATTCAAATTGTACTAGAAGTGAAATCTCAAATTGGACAATAATTTTGGGACAGAGGGAGTATAACCATCCCTCCCCAAAAGAAAACTCACAATTCAATTCACTAAAACAAGAAATTAAAGCAATAATTAAGGAGGGGTTGGGCCGGCCTGATTCGCATCCTACGATGGAGATATTTACAGGCTATATGGACGCAAATTACCTAATCCTTGATTTTTTGCAGGCCGACCAATCATCAATTAAAAAAACTCCAATTGGCTTCGGAAGTTGGAATCCGATATTATTTCGGATCCTTTACCAGTCGTCGGCCAACGTCGGACGGAGAAAACCTCCCGTTGGTCGTTGTGTCCATCAATTCCATTTCTCTCCCGACAGCGATCTTTCAACTACATTATCATCTATTGCTTCCCCCTTCATTTTCTCATTTCAATTCTCCAATCTTCTCCCTCTCTTTGAAACCTCCAATCAAACCACTAAATTAGCAGTACCCATCCGGAGGAAGAGGAGAGGATCGATTAACCTTCCGTTTTGGACTTGCCGGATTCTTCGAAATCCCGGGTCAATTAATTTGTTTCCTTTTGTGGATTAATCTGTCACATTTATTGGAGTCATGGATTCAGAGTCTCTGAATCTTCTACCTAGTAGCCAGAAATCCACCCAATCCGCCGGCAAGGTAGAAGAAGACCCACAAATCTCACCCGTAGCTTTACTCTCTTTTAGCACGGATTCTTCCTCGTCCCCGAATTCGAGGGTCTCAGCTAAAGCTATTATCTTTATCTCTCTTATCCTCACAACTTGTATAGCTCTCTCCGCAGCTGCTGCCTTTGCCTTTCTCTTCTTCTCCTTCAGCCATGCCTCATCACCAGAACCAGCTGCGGAGGTTGCTCGTTCTCTGACTAAACTGAAGCGACCAGTTGTGCTTGTGATTTCCTCAGATGGGTTTCGGTTTGGGTATCAATACAAGACCAATACTCCTAATATCCACCGGCTAATTGCTAATGGGACTGAAGCTGAATTGGGTCTGATCCCAGTGTTTCCCACTCTAACATTTCCCAATCACTACTCAATTGTCACTGGTTTGTACCCAGCTTATCATGGGATTATTAACAACTATTTTACTGATCCTAACACTGGTGACTTGTTCACCATGAGGAGTCACGAGCCCAAGTGGTGGCTAGGGGAGCCTTTGTGGGAGACTGTGGTCAACCATGGATTGAAAGCAGCCACATACTTTTGGCCTGGTTCTGAGGTAAATAAAGGTTCTTGGAATTGCCCTCCTAAATATTGCATGCATTATGATGGTTCTGTGCCTTTTGAGGATAGAGTTGATTATGTTTTGAATTACTTTGATTTACCAAGCGATGACATACCTGTGTTTATGACATTGTACTTTGAGGACCCTGATCATCAGGGTCACCAGGTTGGCCCTGATGACCCTCAAATTACTGAAGCTGTTGCTAGGATTGATCAGTTAATTGGTAGGTTAATTGATGGCTTAGAGAAAAGAGGGGTTTTTGAGGATGTGAGTATTATTATGTTGGGTGATCACGGGATGGTAGGTACGTGCGATAAGAAGTTGATCTTTTTAGATGATTTAGCTCCATGGATACAAATTCCTAAGGAATGGGTTCAGTCGTATACTCCATTGCTCTCAATTCGTCCTCCACCAGGTATATCCCCCCAGGATGTCGTAACTAAGATGAATGCCGGGTTGAGTTCTGACAAGGTTAGCAATGGTAATAGATTGAAAGTCTATCTCAAGGAGGATCTGCCTAGTAGGCTGCACTATCATGCTAGTGATCGAATTCCACCTATCATTGGCCTACTTGAGGAAGGGTTTAAGGTGGAACAAACAAAATCGAAAAGGCAAGAATGCGGAGGAGCACATGGTTATGATAACGCTTTTTTCTCAATGAGGACTATATTTATTGGCCATGGCCCTCAGTTTTCAAGGGGTCGCAAAGTTCCGTCTTTTGAGAATGTTCAGATATACAACTTGGTTACAGATATTCTCAAGATACAAGGGGCTCCTAACAATGGGACATCATCTTTCCCTTCTACCATTCTTTTGCCTAGCCCCTGAAGATTCATAAAGTCTACTCAGCGGCATGGAGCATGATTCAAGAGCTTTACACTTTTCCAATGTGATTGATCGCATTAGGTGAGGAATGGCCAAAATTTCAAGAAGTCCGCAGGTATACCTTCATGTGGTGGCCGTTATGTTATTGAAGTCATTGGGATCCATGAACTGTTGATAGTCACTTGATAAGTATATGCCTGTTGGTTTCCAACTGTGGTAATACACGTTTGTTGCATCTACAAGAATGGCAGTCACTAGGAATTGTATATGTTTTTTTGCTGCATTTTTTTGCTAATATATGCAGTGGATCCTATATTTCAAAATCGTTGGCGTTCATGAAGATACCCTTGCATTTTCTTTAGTTATGTAATTATGATTCCTTGTATCTTTTGCTCTGCACAAAGTCAGTAGTTACTAAATATGAAGTCTGTCATAGATTAACAGCTTGGAAGAGACCATTTCCTTGTTAGATAGAGCTGTTACAATTGAACATCATGCTAGATCACTTAATAGAGTAAGATGGTCTTTTATTTTGTATTAAATGGAATATAGGAAAGTGCTGCTGTGTTTTGCAACCGTAAGATGGTCTTTTGTGGACAAACTATGAAGAAACCATTTAGGAGATTGATTAATGTTTCTTTTCTGAGTTTCTTTCCTACATTGTTATCTTCCTTTGGAACCTGGCCCTTGGTTTTCTGTTTTTGGCTCAAATATTGGTGCAACCGTTATTTGCCCAGGTACAAAAACTGATTATTTTGGAGCATATGTTTACTAATGAAAAGATATACATATGTTACCAAGCAAGTTTTGTGGTTCTGTTAAGCAGCTGTCAAGTATCTTCTCTGAATCTTCAGCATGTATTTGAACCAATAGATACTCTTTTGGAGGGGAAATCCCAGAGGGTTATATTCAGCCATCGTGTCAATCGTGTGGAATTCGGCAGTGGCTACAAATATTTGACATTTTGTTTTCGTTCTTTTCTGCTATCACCTTGTAAGATCAAATATCTTGGACAGGTTCCATTTGACAAGCTTCTAAGTTTTCTTCGTTTTCAAATTACTGTGATTTAACTCTGCAAAGTACAAAGGGTACTACAATACAAATAATCTATATTTAAGCGATCATAGTTTGAAGTCATCAAGAACTAAGAGTAATAATATACTCCCTCCGCCTAAAAAATGATCGTTCAGTTTAGATTTGTACTGTTAGTACAATTTGAGCTAAACCTAAAGATTCAAACAAGACACTTATTTCGGGATGGAGGGCGAAACAAAATTTCATTAGCTATTGGTGGTCATAAGCTACATCCTTGTCTTTAGCTATTGGAGGTCTAAAATTTCATTAATAATACTTCTTGCAAGACCAGACCAATTCAGGTTTCAGGATTGTAACTTCGGACATTAGGTGTTATATAAAAGCAATTAGTGCGGTTAAATGATTAATCCCAGCTTAATATTATGATGATAGTAATGTGGTAGATACTAGATAAGTAAAAAGGAAAAAAAGCACATGAAAAACTTGGGGACGTCCAGAAGGAGACAAAAAAAGTGAAATTGCTTTTTCGCCATTGGTGAGGTTCGTTCTGGTTCACTCAAACTCGTCCACTTCTTCATATTCCCCCACTCTTCTCCAAGGTAGAAAGCCCCCAACGCCGGAGCCCAGAAAAAAAAAAAAAACATCATAGCAGAGATCGAAGTTCTCTCATGGCTGCTTCTATTTTGCTTACCCTTCAGTTGATGTGACCTATAAGCAATCTCTTCACACACAGAAACATTCCTATCCCCAGCAAATTCGGAGCGACCCGCAAAAGGAAGAAGATTTAAACCTTAAACCTGTTTGTTTGGTCTGTGTTAATGGCAGACTTGGTAAGATTGTCTGCTAATTCAGTGGGTTTCTCATCTTCTTCGTCCCTGTTAACATCGTTTTCTACATCTGTGAGCACTTCCCAGCCAATTCTCGCACCACCGCTTCAGAGTTTGTGCAAAAGGGTCATCTCATTGTCAGTGTCTTCACCACTTGCTGGTCTGCCAGTTACCTTTAGGCCCCGGAAGAATTGGACATCTTTGAAGGTAAAAATTCGAGCTTTATAGTGTATTTTGTTTGTTCCTTATCTTAGAAATTGGGACTGAGATTAATGAAATTTGTACAATATCTATGTTGAAGATATATCTTTATGTTCCCCTGGGAACACTTTTGGTTCGTTATAAGTTGGTGATTCATCGTTTCCAGGGCATGTTGGTTTCACCCTTTTCATAAAATGGCTCATTGATTTACTTTTTCTCTGCAATGAAACACTTGATGCAATGATTAGGAACCCACATAATTTTAGCATTCTAATTGGTGGCAGTGTCTTCAAAATGCATACTTTTATTCTGCAGTTATTGTAGAAATGGGAAAATCTTGTCTTTCTCGTTGGATTGATTCTGGTTCTACTTTCTTTTTCGTTTCCACTGCTTTCTAGCTTAAGGCTGTTGGCCAATAAGATAGATAACATATGTACTCGAGGCTACACGTTCCTGTTGTCTTTTGTTGTGTGACACTATAACGTAGCCTTTTTTGGGGTAATATATGGTGTAGTCCTTCATATACCGCCAATTTGCTTGTGGTGTATGGACATGATATCAACGCAGAAGAAACGTTTCACCTGGATTAAGTTTTAGAATGAGATTAGAACACCTTCAAAATCCATTTAAGGTGTTGAACATTAGGAAATGTGTGTAATTTTCTTCCTTGGTCGTGCATTTCAGAATTTACTCTTTTCAGAAGAATTCTGTTTGTTTTGTTGCGACGACATCTCTGTATTGTTTGTTTCCTTTATCAAGCTATAGCAGTCCTTAATATACATCGGTTTGCTTGTGGTGTATGGACATGATATCAATGCAGCTTACTTTGTGAATAAGATTAGAACATCCCCCTACTCTAATTCAAGTGTTGAACATGAGCGAATGCGTGATCTTTTTCTCCTTAATTGCACATTTCTGAATTTTCTCTTCCTGTGAAGATTCTGTTCCCCACACAAAACAAGCAAATATGATGATATGCCCCGTGGTTCTTTTTGTCCCCTTTTTGATTTGGTAAAATTGAATGCTTCACTTCAGGTGCAGGCCACTGTTACTGAAACAGAGCAGCCAAAGTGGTGGGAAAAAAATGCAGGACCGAATATGGTTGACATTCACTCCACACAAGAGTTCTTGAAGGCTTTAAGTGAGGCTGGTGATAGGCTAGTCATTGTTGAGTTTTATGGGACGTGGTGCGCTTCTTGTCGAGCACTATTCCCAAAGGTGAGATTTTTGGGAATTACTTTTTGTTCATGGATTTGGTGGATTTAATTTGTTCTAAATTTCTTGATTTCTAGATCAAGGTTTAAATGCCCTGTGAAACAGACAGTAGCCTATGCTCCTAGATTTTGAGACTTGAAGGAAAACCTGTTATATAAAAGAAAGCATATATTTTAACGAGCGAGTTTTAAATCTTGCAGGAAGCATGATCATTTTATAAAATTATGAGGAAATTGTAGAAATTAATCTGAGAACAAAGGTCATATTCATGGATCAAAATGAAGAAAATGTGTCTCCATATTGTGCTATGTTTTCATCCAACTATTTTCTCCCGTTCAAATTCTATAAAGGTATTTCTGCACGTTGCTTGCTATCTATTGGTAATTCAAGTTGTCCTGCATTCAACCGCCATCTGGAGATCTAGACTTTTCGTTCTTTCGAGTGGGAACACAAATTTGCTTTGCTAAACGTCAGATTGACTTTCTTATGGTGTGAAGAAAATATAAGCTACGGAAATTAGCCTTTAATGTATTTATGGCCTTACTAATATCATTCTAGGAGTGTTGCACGATCAACAGATGCTGGAACCACTTCTTTTCTATGTTAGTTTCTTGTTTGCATGTAAGTCATCTTTTTACGGTTGTGTTTTGACCCTATCTGTATTGCCGTTTAGCTATGCAGGACTGCCGAGGAACACCCTGATATTTTGTTCCTGAAAGTGAATTTTGATGAAAATAAGCCCATGTGCAAGAGTCTGAATGTGAAGGTTCTCCCTTATTTCCACTTCTACCGTGGATCTGAAGGACAGTTGGAATCATTCTCTTGTTCCTTGGCTAAAGTAAGCAAATGGATTTGCTCATATGTATCTGTTGGTTGTTCATGTGAAATGTTGGGATTAGTAGATTAAGCCACTTATACGACGTCAGAAACTTCAATGAAGATATTTGTTCTGCTCAGTTTTATAGATTACTTGAAGATTTGCAACGAGTTGCTTTTACCATGATCAGCCCCACCAAATTGTTCTTGTCCTTTCGCATTCACTTGTTTTCAGGTATAACTCGTTAACCCTAACTCCTACCTGTTCTTGCTTCATTTGCAGTTTCAGAAAATAAAGGATGCCATCGAGCTTCACAATACAGCTCGGTGCAGCATTGGTACTCCTGAAGGTGTCGGAAATCTCACCCTCGAGAGCCTTTCAGCACCAAAGGACCCTCTTGCGGGATCTTCAAAATAGTAACCAATCGTAAGGTGCGCTTAGCTACACTCACGCGTGCAGCATGACGGTATATATAGTTATTCGTTTTGTATATTTTATTTGCAGTTTTACCCTTAGAGAACAATTGCAAAAGTGCAGCATTCAAGCTGTACAGAATTTTCCTTGTGATTTAATAGAATCCCTCATTATTCTGATAGAAATGCAATTAGGCCCTTGAAAGAACAACAGATTTAGATGAAAGTGCAGTATTCAAGCTGCAGCATTTCCCTTGGGTGAATTTATTTATTTTTATAAATATTGGAAAGAAAGCAAACCAAACATGTCCACCACTATTAAATTTGATATCGTCAATGTCGACCTTAATTAGTTAAAGTTCACTTCTTAAGACTTTTTTTTTTTTTTTTGGGTCTTCGCTTGTACTGTGGGTGGTAAGTCGAATTTTTGGACGTACAATCCATCTGGTTATATAGACTTAGATTCGATTGGGATAGGGCCAGACTACTAAAAATTTCTTTCATTTATCATGGGTATTCATTATTCAAAGAAATTAATAGGACGTCGATCTCATAGACTGAATAATAGAAATCCATCCTCATGCACAAAATTAAATAGAAGCGAACAATTCAAATCCACACGCAACTTGTTTAGGTTTCTTGTGGTAATCAGTTTATCAGTCATGTCTACAGCTAAATTCTCCGAATTTATTCTTCTCTTTGAGTTTTTACCAAATTTCTGTTTTAGGATTAAAAAAAAAGTTTATTTATTTATTTATTATTTTTAGAATGAAATTCATCTAGTTTTCTACTCCCTCCGTCCTTAAAAAATAGCCTACATTGAGTTTACAAATTTGTAACTAAAAACAGTACAAAACTCAAAACTCAATATGAAGACGGAGGTAGTACTTTTCTTGAGTAGAAAAGGATAAGGAGTCTAGCAGCTCGTCCAGAAGAAACTCGACATTTTTTTCCCTGCCCTGAAAAACCCGTAATGGTTGGGCAATTAATTAAGAGAATTACTGAATTAGTAACTAGTAATTTTAGATTGAATTAGGCCATTTATGTACTATAAAATTCTTTTTTACTGGTCTTTCTTGAAGGCATAGTATTTCCTGAATAATAGATGAAAATAATAATAAATGGAACACTGTGCTACACAGTCCATGTACCTCATGGATCGTCAATTTCAATTTTAACTAATTAATTTCCTCCACTGGAATAAATAAGATTCAAGCTGTATATCATTTTCCTTGTGATGTGCTCATTAATTATTCTCTGATAGAAATGCAAAATTAGGCCCGGCCTTGAAAGATGAACAGATGAAAGTACAGTACTCATTCAAACTGCAATATTATTTCCCTTGTCAGATTTAATATACTACAATCATGCAAAAGGAAATCTAATGTTTCCCACCACACCACACTAATAAATTTGACAAAGGGTTGCTTAACTGAGTCTAGAAGCCCTTCCCCAAAGTGCTTTATTCTTCGTTTAAAATGATTTTTCTACTTGGATTTTTTTTTTTAATTTATTTTACTTTTAATACTTCAAATAAAAATTCAACTCATTTCGGGGGACCAATTTCATGCAGCTCTATAGCCAGCTACTTGTACATTTCAATGACTCCAATGTCACCGACATAACGTTTGGCCCTAACGCCTTTGAATCCGGCACCAACGGCGAGTGCCTGAAATTCGAACTCCGATCGCTCTCTCCCTCCCGGAGTTACAGTCATCATGAGGGTATCCGTCTGACAAACGGTTTTTGCGTAGGCACTGCCATCAGATTTCAGAGGTAGAATAAAGTCGACGACGATTACTTTGCCATTTTCGGGAAGAGCTTTGAAACAATTCTTGAGCAGCTTTAAGCAGTAATCGTCAGTCCAGTCATGAATTACGCCCTACAAAAGAAATTAGGTCAGCCATGAATATGGATTACGTGTTCAATTAATAAAAATGACACGATTAAAAATATGGCTGATTATTAATAATAGTTTAGGATTCAAATCTTACTTTTATGAAAATGGCATCTGCTTTGGGCACGCTTTCAAACATGTCTCCCCCAATGTGTGTAACTCCTACATGTATGTTTCAAATATTCATGTGCTTTAGGATATCAACTTTGAAGCGAGATTAGCAATACATATGGTCCTTAATTTTGATAATTTATTAAATGTCAAGCCGTCAAATTACTTCTTCTATTCGAAGAAATGTACAGTTCAACAGACTAGATTAATTTTATGGACGAAGAGGGTAAATGACGGTGTATTTATTATACCTGGATAGGGAGGTGCATCTTTAACAACATGGGGTAGATCAAAGTTGATGCCTTGAATTTGAGGATATTTGGACACAATCTTGTGGATAGTGATCCCAAGACCACCACCGACATCAACCAATGTCTTAATGCCTTCAAAACCTTCATATTCTTGAAGAAAATACCTTATTGTGGTGGACGTTAGGCCAGCTAATCCTTTATTAAATACCTCGTTAAACCTCTGATCCTTGACGGAGTACTCAAATTGATGCTCCCCGTAGATGATCTCGAATGCTTTTCCACCTTCAAGAATTGCATCTCCCAATCCGTACCTAATTCGAATCACTCGTAAACGTAATTAGATACCTTAATTGAAATGTTAAGGTAACTCTTTGATAAAATTAACCTTTGATGACTACAAGTTTTTGACTTCTTAAGTATTTTAATTATCACATGTGATGGAGTTTTACTTCGAAATTAATTCTTCTTTTCCTAATAAAAGAATTTTGTCTTGATTCGTCCGTCTAAAAATAAGATGTTTTGAGTGAACTTTGTAAGAAATTATACCGAAACTAAATTGATACTCTTTCATCGCATCCAGTTTCGAGAGTAAAAAAATTAATGTCGCGTGATATTATTAGGATAATGAAAGTTACAATGTGTGTTTCATGATAATGATCCAATTCGTTACGTTAGATAGCCCATTTCTTTTTTCTTGGGAAAATATTATTAGGAATTGGACGATTATTATGACAAAAATGATAATATACTTTTCATGATAACGGTCCAATTCGTTACTTAGTCCGATTTTTTTGAAAAATAGTTTTGGAAAAATGGACGATTATTATGATGATAGGGATATATAGAGTAACACTTACCAGCTTCCAATAAAAATTTTATCTTGGACCAATTCAGCAAGATGTCCAATGGTGTGACCTTCTGAATCCGGCAGAAAGAATTTCCCGAGCGGAGATAACCCGTAAATTCTTTCATACCGAACCGTACCGTCTTCACGGGCATCTTCAACAACATCACAAGTGAAAACATCATAGTTACTCAGTAAGTGAAGCATTCTGTCGAGCATGGAAGCTGCATTAGGGTTTTTTGTTGGGAGTTTGGCTGCAATTTGGGTTGGTGTTAGTTTCTCATGATGCCCAGATTTTGCCATGATTTCGAACAAGTTCAGTTTCATGGCAGTGTACAAAACCATAGGCAATGCAGCTGAGGTGCAGAGTTGGATTGCTTTTGTGTAGTATTCAGCATATTCTCCACCTTTCTCCATTGCTTAATTACAAGTTTTGTTTTTTTTTTTCTTTTCACTTCCCCCCCTTTTTTTTTCACTTGTGCATTTTGAGTACCGCATTTTGAGTTCTTATATAGCAGTCATTTAGGGTTCTTGGTGATTTATTTTATTGTATTTTTGTTGAAACTGTCAACAGAATCCTTTAACTTGACTGTTGACTACCATTTAAGCATTTATGTTCCTCTTGCAATATTGTCAAAAGAACAAGCACTTGATTCATACGGTGACGGTACATGTACTAGGCAATTAAGTTAACATTGATCAGGATTCAAAAAATTTATAGTATGTGATTAAAACATTAATTAAAATATTCATTGGAAGAATTAATTTCACATTGCGAAAGAATTCTTTCCGATTCAAATTTAGATTAGTATACCAACAAAGTGAATTGTTAAAATGAGACAAATAGTAAAAATAAAGTTTTAGTATTGTTCTTGGATGTCTATCTCAAAGCAAATCTAGAATTTCTTGCGAATTAATTATTAGTAGGGAAATATTCTCATCAAGGATTCAAATAAATTAGAACGGGAAAATTCGGCACCAAAAAGAGGAAAATTCAAATGCCAAAATTCGCCGAGCAGAAGAAGAGAAATTCCATGTGGCCAAAATGTGCCATGAATCGTAATCGAACGTTTATTGGCCTCACATCTTTACATTTCAGACTTTTCGTATAAAGAGAGCTAGCAGCCTTGGTGAATTATGTGATGTATATATAAGGCTACGACTTGAGATTGGCTTTATTCATGGGGCATCTAGCTAGGTCTAATTGTGACCACCGTGGAAATTTGCTAGAACGATAATGACTACTGGAGAAAAATGTTTGCGCACGAAAAATACTTTTTTTTATTATTAGAATGTTGATTAATTAAATGGTTCATTTAATAGTTCAAAAGGTTAAAATATTATGACCTAATAATTTGGATTATTAAACTATTCATTAGTCACAATCCAGAAAGTGGTGTAGAATGTATACATTCTGTATTTACTCTGTCCTAAAAAATATAGTCTAAATTGACCACATCGAGTTTTAAAATGTATATTATTTTTATTATAAATATCAAAACTTCATCTGTAATTTTTTTTTTTTTTGGACAGAATGACTACATGTTAGGCCAATACTACTATAATATGAAGATAGATTACGTAAGCATGCACACATTATTAGATTGAAATGAAAAGGATAAATGATGAGTGCATTGGAAGATAGAACGACAATTAAGATGATCAATTTCGCTTTACAATATTCTCAACAAATGCCGTACGTTGTTGATTGTGTTGTGAGAGCGCATGCCAAGTTTCAGATAGTGCAATTTACATTACAAAATGACTATTTTTGTAGAAAAAAGTGTATACTTGACAATATTTTCATCTGAACCTGGATTTTTTTCCTTTTCCAAACTAACGACTAAATTTCAATATTTTGATAAAAAAAAAATTATAATTAACAGAAAGCGTCCAACGAGGATTGATACAAACACAACAAAAACTGAGTTTTTCTTTAACCAAAGTTACAGATGACACGAGTCTTGATGACTACGCTCCCATTGATTCTGCACAATTGCTCAATCAGTACAACAAAATCTACTGAAAGATTAAATTTTGCAATGAATAAATCACATTAATCTACTGAAGAAAGCCAAGACAAATTAAACTATTGGCAATGGTCTCACTTAGTAGATATATATAAAAAAGGAACAATAAAATAGAAACAAAAGGGAGAAATAGAACTATTTCATCAATCCTCTCAAGATAGGAAGAAGGGGAAAACGAAATTGGCTTTGGAAAGAGAGGAAAAGGCGCTGGCTAGGTTTGAAATTCACACACCGCATGCAACTAAAACTGTCAATTCTTGTTAAAGTTGATCAATAAAATTTTCCACATGTTAGGAAAGAAAAAATGAAGGTCATTTGTCTCATTTTCTCGAATGCTATGCTGCAATATTGGGCTCCCTTAATTTATGATTCTCAATTATATGCTCTTAATATATGAAGGAAATTAGTGCACTTTGTTAGTTGTATTATACAGTGTGTTTCTTTAATTTTACAGAAAAAGTCTTAAGCATTATTATTAATTTAACATATTTATATTAGATATAAAATCAAGACATATTCGTCAAGTTCCATTCTAGTTCAATTTAGAAGAAACAAAGGAAGGATGAGTTTCTGTTTGATTTTTTTTTTTCCCTTCATTTTTTGACATCTCAATATCAACCTCATGAAAACCTTATATTCCTTGAAAAAATGTATTGAATTGATTCTTTGTGATGAATAAATCCGATCCCTTGTGGGAGATGAAACCATTAGACACCGGTAAAAATGGTAAAAATATAGCCATTTACTAATATGATTTTAAAGACTACTGAAAATGAGATCCATAACAATTAACAACTGCAAAAAATATTAAATTTAACTGACTTTTTTTTTATTTATTCCTCCTAAATATAATATTGCAGGGGAGGGGGGGCGGTAAGGAGTAACTTCAAATCTTTTGAATATCTCCTACATATCGAAATACTTATTATGAACGAGAGAAATTAGTCATTATTATTGACAATAGACACCCTACAATATGGAGAAAAAAAAAAAAAAACAAAACATAGGGGCGGGGGCTTCTACAGTTTCTGCTTCTGTATATATTTACTATGGTCCGTGGAGAGGCCCATATGTGTTGAACCGACAACCAAAAGTAAAAACTGTGAAAATTTCAAAAATTTTAGGTAAAAAAGGAAAAAATAAAATCATTAAAATTGTGAAAGTGGGCAGGCTAGGATTCGATGTTTTGTGAACTATAAATACTTCCATTCCAAAATGATTATTCCGTTTGAACTTTACACTTGTAATATAAATTGTACAACAAATGATCCTTTTGAAAAGCCGAAAGAAATATAATACTCGTTATTTATATTTTTTTCAACTCAAATGATTATTCAATTCATTTTAATATAACTTGTACTAAAAATAAAAATTTAAATTGAATAATTATTTTGATATTAAATTACACTGTAATTTTTCCCCCAAAAGAAAATGTAATAAATATTCAATTCTTTTCGGGAAGTTGCGATATATATAGCGATGGAATGAGAAATGCCTTGAATGATTATCTTAAAACATTTTTCAAGCAAGAGATCGATAACAATTAACAACTGCAAAAAAATAATAATAATAATAAATAAATGAATTTTTTTATTCATTCCTCCTAGATTATAATATTAAAGGGGAAAAGAAAAACTTTAAATCATTTGGATATCTTTTCTACACATCGAGGTGTCTACTATGAGTGAAAAATTAATCATTATTGTCGACGGTAAACACTTTACAATATCAGAAAAAAACATATCCACGACATAACGTGAAGTATCCAATAATAAGGAAAAAAGGGGGCAACCAAAAGTAGAAACCACTGAAATTTTAATCTTAGGTAAAAGAAGGAAAAAACAAAAACATTAAAATAGTAAAAGTGGGTAGACTAGGACTCGATGTTTGTGGACTAATAAGTATTTCCGTCCCAAAATAATTATCCCGTTTGAACTTTTTATTTGTAATATTAGTTGTACAACAAATAATCATTTTAGGACGTAAGAAATATAATACTCATTATTTATGTATTTTTTTTTATTCAAAATGATTATTCAATTCACTTTTAACATAATTTGTACTAAAATTAAAAATTTCAGCTGAATAATCATTTGATATTAAACAAAACCGTAAATTTCTTCAAAAAGAAAGCGTAATAGATATTCCTTTATTTTTGGGAATTTAAGATATATATTGATTGAATGACAAGTGCCTTGAATGATTATCATAAAACATTTTCAAGCAAGAGATCGATAACAATTAAGAATTGTAAAAAAAACATTTTTCAAGGAGTAATTTTAAATTCATTGGACATCTCTCTCACACATTGAGATACCTAATATGAGTAAGAAAATTAGTCAATGTTGTCAATGGTAAAAATCTTATAATATGGAACAAAAGAAATAAAAAAAATCCACAACATATCACGAGGTATTCCAGTAATAAGGAAAAACAAAAAAAAAAAAAACAAAACAAAAAACTAATAAGTATTTGATGTTTGGGGAGGGGGTTGGCCGGGTGTTGGGGTTTGGGAACTAATAAGTATTTTCGTCTCAAAATAATTATTCTAAATTCCGTTTGAACGTCAGTTGTAATATAAACTAGATGCTTGGCCCAGACAGATGCCTGCGCGCCCCCTCTACTTTAATTTTGTGTTAATAGATAAATGAATTTTTGATTTAGAAAAAATAAAATAGCTACACATTTATTGTTTTCCCTTTTTTAGCCAAAAATAATATAAAAATAAAAAATCATCTACAAAAGGAGAAAAAATATTGAAAAGTACACCGATGCAGAAATTATACAAAAGAATGTGGAGTAATAAAGGGGATAATTTTATGGATAAATTTAAATCCTATCTCAATTTGATTGATAAATGATAAGTGTTAGGAGTTAAAATTGTGTAACTATTTTTGTAAATTAGTTTTTGTTTTTCTGGATAAGAAGTTTTTTTTTTCTTTTAAAAAGGGATGACGTGTGGCAGAATGGTTAAAGCAATATGGTGCATTTGGAGCCAAATTTTTTTAATAAGAAATTGTCACATCAACATCTGTATTCTGCTTTAATAGGGTAAAAGGGATGTTCAATTTAAAATTGTGTAACTATTTTTGTAAAGTAGCTTGTACAATTTACATTACAACTGAAACGTTCAAACGGAATCCCTTTTACCCTATTAAAGCAGAATACAATATGTTGATGTGGCAACTTCTTATTAAAAATTTTTGGCTCCAAATACACCATATTGCATTAACCATTCTGCCACGTGTCATCCCTTTTTAAAAGAAAAAAAAAATTCTTATCCAGAAAAACAAAAGCTACTTTACAAAAATAGTTACACAATTTTAACTCCTAACATTTATCATTTATCAATCAAATTAAAATAGTATTTAAATTTATCCATAAACTTATCCCCTTTATTACTCCACATTCTTTTGTATGATTTTTGCATCGTTGTACTTT